ACCTCCAATATTGAGGAAGGTTGATTATAAGTGCAATAGACCAGTGATTCTTACTGTAGACGCTAGTCCAATTGCCGTTGGATGGGCTGTGGGTCAAGATGATTCGAATGGGAGTAGATTTGCAGTTCGATTTGGGGCTAAAGTTTTAAGTATTCGTCAGCGTGCATATTCGCAAGTCAAAAGAGAACTTTGGGGAGTTATTTCGGCTATGAAAGCTGAAAAGGACTATTTGATTAAGGCAGTAGTAATAATTGAAACAGATTGCTTGCCATTGCTTCGAATGATTATTAACTGTTCAACGCCAGATATTGCAATGTTGAGATAGATTGCTTATATTAAGTCACTAAATCCAGAATTTAAGCATATCACTGGAAAGGACAATTTAGTAGCAGACATGCTATCTCGAGCAATATACGAGAGGGAGGATGAAATGGTTGAAGACATTGATGATGTCGGATTGAAATTCTATTCAATATCAAATCTCAACAAGGAAGACAAGCTATTTCTTGAAGAATCTTATGAAGGAGAATTATTGGATATTGGTCATTATTTGAATATCTTGTCTAAGCAGGGGAATTGGTCTACAGAAAAATTCAAACAAATAAGAAAAAAAGCATATGGATTTTTACTTCGAGATGGATTCTTATGGAAGAGACCGAAGAAAGGAATTGAGATGCCACGACGAGTGATAGGCAAAAGGGAAGAAAAACTAAAATTATTAAAGGAGTTTCATGATAGTTTATGGGCAGGGCATAGAGGAATCTGGGCTACTTTTGCTAAACTCAAGGAACGATATTGGTAGAAAAATATATATCGAGATGTGCTCTCATTTGTAGAGTCATGTGAAATCTGTCAATCGTATTCTAATATCCGACATCGAGATGGTCTTCATCCTATGTATCCTCTGGCTATTCATTTTAAATGGGTTGTTGATTTGGTTATTATGCCGGTTGAGTTATGGCAGATGAGATATTTGGTTTTAGCTCGTGAAGATTTATCAAATCAAGTAGAAGGAAGAGCATTGAGACAAAATCTACAGAGGGGATTTGTAGGTTTTTGCTTGAAGATGTCATTTGCCGTTACGGGTGCATAGGAAAAATCACTGCAGATCGTGGAGAATTAAATGCACAAGAAGCTCGTAAGTTCTTTGAAAAATGTGGAGTTAAACTATCACTGACTACTGCTTATAATCCGGAAGGGAATGCAAAAAGCGAACGCGGTCACCCGCCGATTGTGAAAGCATTGGTTAAAGCTTGTAATGGGAAAGTTAAAGAGTGGCCACGGCTTTTGTCATTTGCATTATGGGCTGATCGAACAACACATAGTTCGGTGACAGGATATATGCCAGTAGAACTTATGTCAGGTCAAAAACCAATTATGCCGATTGAAGAAAAGGTACTTACTTGGAGTATGCTACCATGGGAAGATGGATTGACAAGAGAAGAACTTCTGGCTATTAGGATTCGACAATTGGAGCAAAGAACGGAAGATGTCCAGATAGCATTGGAAAGGTTAAAAAGAGCAAGGTTACAAAACAAGGCACGATTCGATAAGCAACATCGATTGAGACCAAAAGCAATCGAGAAAGGTGACTGGATACTTGTTTATGACAATAGTCTGGATAATCAACATAGTACTTTGCAGAAATTTTTAAAACGTTGATTTGGACCATATGTTATAACAACTGTTCATGATAATGCGACTTACTCATTACGGGAGTTAGATGGTACAAAATTAAAAATACCAATTGCAAGGAAGCGAGTAAAAATATTTAAACGAAGACATGCAGAGATGAATATGGAAGACCTTAATGAAGGTACAGAGATTCCGGAGCAAGAAGATGAAAGTGATTTGGATAATGAAGGTGACGAAGACGAACTGGACAAAGACGTAGGGGATATATTCTGAATCAAACAGCAATTGGGTAAATTGGTGCATATCGGAGGATGCACAGGTTCAGAGGGGGTGGATGTCGTGTTGTAACACGAGTATACAGTGAAAATAAAGAAAAAAAAAAAAAAAAAAAAAAAAAAAAAAAAAAAAAAAAGAATTTTATTAATATTCAGTTACCTCGAATATTGGGAGCATCGACCAACTCCAGCGCAAATACTGAGTGGTCAGGTTCAGTCACCCCGTTACAGTCAGCCGGGGCATACTGAAATGCTCCGTTCGATTCTAATAACGAGAATTAGCAGGATGAGAAGGACCAATTCACACGACGGGTTTGAAGAGCCAATTGGATCCAATTTTGAGAATCCAATCCGGGTCCTCTTATCCAATATGAGACTTGTATTGGTGGGGCAACCCAATGCAGTCTAGTTACGGGAAAATCCAGGTCTTATTACGGGCCTCAACCAGTCTGACGCGAAGACCAATTTGACCCAATTATGCGAGCATCCAGGTTACTACGGGCATCTTATCCAATATGAGACCTGAATTGGTCGGGCGACTCAATGTGGTCCCGATTACGGGGTTTCGATTCTGTTTCGGGCTGTCCTGTTCTTTGTGCCGTTTCAGGGAACGTTGTTTACGGTAAATGGATCTCTTAAAGGTAAAAACGAAGGAGAAGGCCTTGATGACGTGAACCAATTTCGGATCTAAGCTCTGACGGCGGGAGCCAATTCCGGATCTAAGATGGAAGATTGAAGAAATTCAGAGGATAAGGTTAGGAGAGAATATAGTTTTAGTGAAGGAGGTTTTTTTTTTGGGGAATCGGGGGGGAGCTAGTTTTCAAGCTTTTGCAAGGTTACCAGTTCGGTTTTCATTGGAGGGTTTTGAAGATCAAGGGAATTAGAGAGAGGAGCTTCATGCTTCGGGTCGGGGAAGGAAAGACATAGAATTTGGATTTTTCTTCTTCGTAGAGTTTTGGGAAGACTGAGGCAATCGCTGCTGAAGTCAGTGTTGTAATGGTGAATCGGGATTTTTAAATGAAGTGGGTTTGAATACTCTTGACTGTTTTGTAAAATCGAGTTACGTCTGTGATTGAAAGATTAAAGGGGTGTCTATAGGATTGAGTATGCGGAGTGAATGAAATTTATTGGGTTAATCTAACAGGACAGTCAGTGGATACAAGATCGTAAGTACAAAGGGGTATTGAAGATTAACAGTTTGGGTTGTTCGGGGTTCTCTGTAACGTCTAGAGACCTACCGGCTGGGGCAAAAAAAAGACTTCGACAAGCAGTCGAAGAGCATCCGTATAGATTTACGGTACATTGTTGCAGTCGTTTATATTCCAGCAGTCAAAAACTGATAGACTGCTTGACTATCGGCGAATCTCCATACTACCTTCTACAGCGAGACGCCCGGCGCGTTCTCGAGCAGGAAAGCACGTAATACGACAACGGTGTTCCAAATGTTTTCTTTGAAGGAAGTTACGAAGGCTTCAACAATGACTAAATAACAGGGTGGTCTTCTCGCCTTGGTATGAGACACTATAAATGGTTTAGAGGACCTATCAACCATCTTCGAAGAGAGCAAAGATCAAAGTATATAGCAAATACAATTCGCTCCATCTTGGACTTCCTCAACATATGAAGACTGCTCCTCATGGAACTTGTTCTTAGAAGGGGGGGTAATGTCACAGATATATACATTTACTTCAATAATTACTTATATGATTAAGTAGAATTTGGTAAATATAGAATAATTTCATAAAGTCTTCTAGAAGAGCTTTTTAGAAGCTTCATAGATGTAATTTTAACTTTAGATGTGTTTGTAGGTTAGAAAATTGGCCAAAAAGCTAACCATGTATTGATAGCTTGTGGAACAAGTTATTTCCATATAATAGCTTGTGGAACAAGCCAATTACGTGGCGCATATATAAATAACTTGCCTTGCAAGTTAAGACATGTGGCTATCAAAGTCAATACATGTTGGAAGTCCTATAGGACATCGCCACGTAGCTCTTAGTTAGATAATACATATGGAGGCAAGAGTGAAGCCTTCTTCACTCTTGTCAACGCCTTTCTAGTCTTAGTCTTGTTTCAAGACTTTCTAATCTTCTTGTTTTTGGCAATAACCATTCTAGTTAATATTACATCATTTTTTGAGTGACTTTCTAGTTCTCTTTAGTGATAGAAGAGTGTATTGAAGATTCTCTTTTTTTGAGATTCATGTCCTTGACATATAATAACAATGTACTGAATTAAAAAGTTTATATAATTTTATTTATTTTGTTATTATTTTGTTGTTGTTTTCCAAAATTTAAAATTATTTAATTAATTATTATATATATATATATATATATATATATATGTATATTCTCCATTCACATTCTTTATGTTGGTTCTTCAAATATCATTTCTTTTTGTATTTATATTTGAAGATTATAACAACAAAAGCTACAAAGATGTATGGTGATTGGAGTGTGTTTTTAAATCTTAGAAGAAACCCAAAATTTAATGTTTTTTTCATTAAATTTTTGTATTTCAAATATACATGTATAAATGTATACACAATTGAATAGTAGTAAAAAACATTAACTATATATTTTATAAATATACTATTCAATCATGTATATGATCATTAAACAATACCTTCACATGAACAACAAATCATTTTTGGTATTTAAGTAAAATATTGAATTAAAAATTAGGATCAAACACTATCATTCAAAGAATATATGTAGCCTATACAATTATTATTCACTCATTTATAATCTTTAATAATTTATAAGTCCTAATGTAGAATTACACAAGACATATCAATAGTTGGTTAGTGGAAAAAGTATTCTTTAAAATAAAATAAAATAAAATAAATTTAAATAAATCCCAAAATTACAAATACAGATGTTTTTTTATTCAATTAATCGATTTGTTTTCGGAACCAACAGAAAAACGGCACGTGGGGGGTCCGCGGTGGTAGACCCGACGGCGGTCCTTGGTGTTGGGTCCAGGGGCCACCAGTGGTCTTAGACCTTGAGGTGGTGCCGCCGCGCGTGGCCTTTCACAGTGGACTTGTAACTGCTTCGCCGGAGCCTTTTTTTTTTTTTTTTTTTTTTTTTTGTATTGCAGAGAAAACGATTTTCGCGCCTGCCATGGATCCTTCAGAGCATGTAGAATCACTCCCTTGCGTCTGGATTGCGGACCATGGAGCCTGCGGTTACTTCTGTGTTGCACGTACGAGGGCGTTAACCCATTACGTGCGAGCTTGCTGCTGGTCTTCTTTCATTTTAGTCGTGAGAAGCGACAGTTCTCCTTGAAACTCCGCGAGAAGTTCTGCAGAAGTCGATCTGGTGCGTGGATTTTGAACTGGAGTGCTTCTTAAGATCACATTGGGAGAGAGAGAGAGAGAGAGAGAGCGAGAGAGAGAGAGAGAGTCAGTAGGCTGTGGCTATGGCAGAGTTACTTGATGAACTCGGTTATCCAACTGAAGTTACGAAGAGTGAAGTGGTGTCTGCATTTCTTCAGGTATTGAGTGACCTTTCTTTCCATGACTATTTGTTCATTTCTGTGGCAGCAAGTTCTAGAATGGGCCGTATGCTTCAACTATAGGAAATCGTGTAAAATTTGGTCATAAAATGTAATTTCAATATAATCACTGTCCTAAATTATGCTACCATTGATCCAATTATACTTTATTAGCTATTCCTGTATTCAAGACATGAAACCTGAATGGTAGTGTAGTCCAGTCCAAGGAACCTCTATCTATGGCACTCGACCCGCGTTTGTCCCTACTTCCTCGTTTGAATCCTTGTTTGTAGTTCGCTGTACTGAATTTACGAATCTGAAATAATGGATGAAATTATTTTAGTGTTCTGATGCATCCGAAAGGGAAGATCAGGTTCTTTGAATTTAGGCCATATCTGCTGGTTTCGGAAGTCAGTTACAAGACTGACATTGACCTCGATTAATTTGTTTCAAACTTAATGCGAGGGAAAAATATCCCTTTTAAGGTTGAAACTACTTTTCTCTGCTATTTTGAATTGACCCTTCGGATGTTGTGACAAATTTTCATTAAAGTATCGTGCATCGGAGTCTATGCACCTTGCAGACTATTCAAAGGACCTTGAATTGCTTATCAGCTGATGAGCAAAAGTCGCGAAGAGATGCATTAGAGAAACTCCAAGTGTGTTTGCTGAAAGATGACGGATCAGGGTCGTTGCCTCCAATGGACGTTCTTCAGGTATTCAGTTATTTGATAAGAAGTTCAGCGCCAATTTTACAAGAGTTCCACGAGTTGAAGAGCTAATTAATTGCAAGAAGTGTAAGAGTAATATTTAATTGGCTTCCAGGCTGCGTGGGATGAAGTAATTCTTGAGAAGGCTCTTCAATGTGTTGCTGATCCGATCGAAAAATGCCGGGAGCTTTCTATTCAACTCATTCGCGGAGTAGCCCAGTCACTCATCGAGGTAATCAATACTAACATGGTAGTCGCAGAATAATTTCTATGTTACAAAGCCATCCGATTAGCGAAAGCATATGAGACACGTATACCATAGTTAGTTTTGTTTCTAGTGTTTTATAGCTGTGATGTCAATTCATATTGTAGTATGTTTGCCTGCCCTCACCAACAGTTCTATCAAATCTGGTTTCCGTGCTTCCAATAGATAAACTAAATTTACCATCACATTTTCGCTTCATATACACACATGCGTTAACAACGAACCCTAGATTGTTGTTTCAGTGGCGAGTCGACAATGAACTAAGTCCAAAAATCAGAACTTTTATTGCTTCGATGTCTCTGTAACCAGTTCGTGCTATTAGACGTGCTCATATATTTGTTATTTTTTCTGCAGGTGGACTGGACCTTGAAGGAAACTGTCCGAGTCATGTCTGAAAGGATGGGTAAGAGTCCATGTTATTAGATTGTTTTGTCCTGAAAGCCTATCTCAATCTTGTTATCTTGAGATCCCATCTTCTCTTTAGATTCTAAAGCTGCCTTGAGCTCAATCAAAGAAGTGAAAAAATCCTCTTTACTGGTAATTGAACTCTTTGTACTTTTTGATCTTGATTTATTTTATTTTGTTTTTAAACCAATGTTTAATGATATATTCTATGATTGCAATGGTGCAGGACAGGTACCAGTACTAGAAGACTCTGAGGAGATACGGTTTCAGCTACTTTCGCTGTTGATTGATGTCTTGCTTCCACAATGCGAGCTTCCGACACTAAAAACCACTGTGGATGCTCTGCACAGGGTTTGAATCTTCTCGATTCATAGTAGATTTAAATATGTGCCCATGTGGCTATTGCAGCTATACAAGACATTGCTGTTGTAATTACTTGCTTGGGATTTGCACACGTGAGGTAGAGCTTAGACTATAGTAACAAATCAATCTGCAAGTCTATGCTTCAGGACGAATATATAAGGCATGTGACCTTGCCTGTTCCTTGACAATGTTTGGTGATGCCATAGATAGTGGCTTTGACCCTTTACGATCAATTTCATGAGGTGCAAAAGAAAGCTTGCACTGTTCTTATCATAACGGCGAACCGAGATCCAGAAGTTTTCGGAAACAAGACCGGAGCTTTTCTTAAAGGCCTCATCCCCTGCCTCAGTCACACTCACTCCCGAGTAAGACAAGACTTTTCCTGTTAAGCTGAACTGCATATCGTGCGTGCATATTGTGCTATTTACTTGGATTCTGAGATGCATGAAGACGAAATTTGTAGCAATTGTTTGAAGAAGGGACAGCAGCACTAGAATGAACAAGTTGATGAACGGAAACGATCTGGGGCAGCCAGAAGAACACTATGCTCTAAATTGTATGTATCTTTCAAGATGTATAGGGGAAGTCAATCTCTGAGTGTTCTGACGCCTGAACTGAGTCTAGATGAATTTCGAATTCACTTTTTTGCAGGTAAGAATTGCAGTATTCCAGGCAATTGACGCCCTGATGCAATGCGGGCTCACTCAACGTTTAGTGGCTCAGCAGCTAGGACCTGGAACAAAGTCGTTAGCATTTGATCACTCTACTACTGTCAGAGAGGTGAATTTTTTTTCTATGGAATGATGATATTTTGGATTTGTCTGGAGCATCCCATCCGTGATGGCAATTTTCTTAGTGAATATCTCTCTCTCGATGCTTTTAGCTTCATCTCCGCAGCATGGAGTCGACGCGAGCCGACGTAAGTGCATTTGGTGATTAAGGCTCACGCTTGCCACCGAAGTTGATTTTTAGATTGGGTGAAACAGTATTTAATTGAAAATCATGATGTATTATGTGATGCTTGTGTAAAGTGGATATCATCCAGCGTTTGATTCGTCTTGTTTGTTTCTGATTGCAGCTGTTTTTTTCCAGTGTTGCCAACTGGCTCAATTACAAAGTGAGCTTGATGAGTGATGAGGAGGCTCACCAGTGCGTCGTTTCTGGAAAAATCCCGCGCTTCCACGTCCCAGAACTTCTTCCTCTTCTGTTGCTGGGTATAACAGATGACTGCATTGACATAGCCGTATCAACGTATGAGAAACTTGAAGCCATTGGCAGAATCTACAAGAGATTTATCGACGAACTAGATATTAGAGTTACACACGTATGTAAGACGGAACATGGAAATGTCTCGGATGCACTATCTCATTGCTGAGAATTCAACAGAAATTTGTTTGGTGGATTCACGTACCTTTGTGTATCTGAAAGATACTCATCTTGTTTGCGCACAAGTCATTTGTGGATGAAAACATTTGAAGTACGTTGATGGGAAGTAAACAAATATGGTGAATCATCTGCTTGCGCAGGACAATGCGGGCAAACCCTTTAGAACCCCAGAAGAAGATGCAGCAATTATGGAGAAGGTACTTGACCAAGATCGAAAATGTGAAGAGCGGCATCAACGAGAGCTGCGAGAAGTGGAGGAAGAACGAAGGTTAGAATGCCAAAGAGAAAGAGTGAAGAGAGAACGAGAGTGGATTACAAATCTCAATGAATTAGAATCCGAGTCCACCTCGGCTCATGTTCTCACGGAGAATAATTCAATTAAAGAAATTTCTACTGCAAATACTGGGGATAGAAGTTTAGAGCTGCGTGGCAAAGTAGTTCAGAATGAAGATGAGACTAAAGTGCTACATCTTGAGAAAAACACTCAGGAGCTTAAGTTAGAAAATTGTGAGCAGAGCCCTGCACCTGAAGAAAGCGTTAGCATAATCAATCTTTACCCACGGGAATATTCTGATATGATTGTTGATCAAGCTATCATGCAAGAGGATAGAAAATTTAACGTAGACGAGGGAGAAACCAATGAGAATGAGATACGTGCAGAGGCCAATAGCACCGGAAATGAGGCCATGAAAAGGGACGAAGAAAACACAATGGCAGGAGAAAATATTGGCGTGCATGGACTACACATTTTAACTAATCAGGAACTTCGGAGGGAATTTTCTAAGTATTCGCAGGGGGAAGTTCGGATGAGGGCTACTAGTGAGATCACAGATGAGGGTGCAGTCCAAAAGCAGGATGAGGCAGGTGTGGAGACACTGCATTTGCCAAAACCTTATCAAGGTAGACCCGGAGCTGGATGTCGGCTTATGGTTGAGGTAATTTTTCCAACTGCCATTAGCTCTTACAAAAGTAAATTTGATGTCGCGCAATGCTTGAAGCGAGGAAAAGTGGTGTTACCGACGATCAGTTTGAATGGTATCAAATGCGCTCAACTAGACGTTCAAGGAAATAGGTTTTGAAATCGTAGATGCGCTCTCAATTACACAGTATTTGGTTATGCACCCGTTTCTGTGAGCACGTTTTCATTTGATTGTTCACAAGTTTTAATAGTCAGTATCTCAAAGCTTTCAGGCAGCTCATATACTAGTTTAGCACCGTTTAGTGTGCGGTTTGGTGAAAAGATTTGCTTGTCGCTCACACTTTTTTTCTGTAGGACCTTTCTTCCAAACATACTTAAGGATCTGACTTTACCGTTCTCATACGGGTGGCAGGCATTCCTGAGACCTATGATAGAACCAGCTCTTTTAGAGCTGAAGCAATGGACTGCTCCTACCCGATTAAGTGCAGCCCGCTATCTTCACACTCTTATGGTTTGTTGTCTTTCTTCTAAGACCGATGTATATGAGCAGGCTTTTAGAACACACTCATGATGAAGTTTAATGATTCCTTGCTTAATTTCGAATTGTTTGTGGATGTCCAGGTAATGGGTGAAGGACTTGCAAAGGATAACCTTGATATTCTTATTCCAGCCTTTTGCAGGTCTTTTATAACCGACTATCAAGAACCACGTATTCTTGTTAGTTTATTTCGCAAGACTTGTACTTCGTTGCAGGAACTTTAAAAATACTGCATTAAGCTTGTAGAAGTGTATCTTATACATCTTCAAACCAAAATTGTGACTTGATATTATTGGTGAGTCAGTGCAGTGCAGTTGGAGACGATGATGTAAGGGTTGCAAAGCGAGTTGTTGCTACCATACATATTGTTGGGTTCCATGTGCCTCCTAGAAAATGGTTACCTCTAACTCTAAAACATTTGGGAAATGCGAAAGCAAGTCGAGCACAGGTAGAAGATCATATTCTCTATCTAAATTAATATTAAGTATTGTAAGAAAATTGTTTGCCATTCCATTTTGTGGTTCTTGATTACATATGATGTTGAATATTATATTCTGCTTACTTTACAGAAAGCAAACGTTCTTGTTGTTATGGCTGCCTTTTTGTATGGAACGCCTGGTAAAGCAATCGAGGAGAAACATATTGCGAAGGTTTGCTGCTTGATAAATTTGTATGCTTATGTTCGCTGCTTATTTTGTTGTGACGCATCATTTTTTAAATAACTTGAGAAAGTCTCTCTTTAGCGCACATGTAGTTTTCTACCCATTTAGGCGCTATTTTGTATTACTACTCAATTAATATTAGGTATTGGTTTTTTAAATTCATAGATCCGTGAATGAACCATTGCTAGTTTTCGCATGGATAGATCTGTGATAAGCTATATGATAAAGACGTATCCTGCTGTGACCACCTTGCTGTTCAGAATCAGGTAGTCCAACTAATTCTTTCGGATGTATTTTTTCTTGTTGTACAAAATTGTTGTGGTGTAGTGTTCTTTCCTGCTCTTAAACTATTATATTGTATAATCAACTTTTCCAGAGGTTGCGGAATTCACTACTCAGGAACCAACTGCATTATTTTGCAGCTTCTTTCAGTTGTGACTAATTTAATTCAAGTTGCTGGAGCACTGTGCAAAACCTCAACCTTCAAGATATTCGTTTTGCTCCTTCAAGTGAGCGTTTCCTTCTTATTTTGTCATGAAAAATGTCTCTTGAGCCTTTTGACAACCGAACGACTCCAAGTATATTAAACTGTGGGAATTGCAGGTTCAAAGTGTTGATGGAGATACACGGCTCCAAAAGAGATCAGGTCAGGTTCTGGAAGATCTTGCCCACGCATTAGGAATGGAATCAGCGCGAGAGCTTTACGTGCAGTATGTTCACAATGTATTGGATATTGTCACTGCTGATCACGAAGGCTGGTCCTCGGGTCTGCAAGGGAAACTAATGTTTCAAACTTTCATGCGGAGTGCCAACGATGCTGTATGTAATTCTTTGATTGATTTCACGCTTACCTCCAAGATTTATATTTTGGATGTGTCATTGAATATGTCTAAGAATGCGAGAAATATTCATTTACAGGTGGGCCCTCATCTAGAGTCACTTCTGCCATTGTTCAATGCATGCTTGCAACCGGACCAAGACCCTGGTCTACGAATCGGCTTCTTGCAGGTGTGTGCACATTGCTGTTGACTTGAAAATACTCCGCAACTTTTGACATGTCCAAATCTGGTGATGAAACTTCTATGCGCCTAGGTTTTGCCCTTGAGATACTTATACGAATTATTGCAATTATAAGATCATAAAGGGAACCTATTTCATGAATGCTATTGGGGTGGACCAGCTTCTGGATGAGTTATTTGAGACGCCAGGGTTAGAATCTTCATGGAGGTCTCTTGCTGTGACCATCATTGGCAAGATTTTGACACCCTGTGCAGTTTGGCGGGCAAGCAAGGTAGATCTTCTTTATGAACAATAAGTTGACATTTATGTCAATTTTTAAACTGTTTGCACTTGGCTTCTGAAAGAGGTGTATTCATAAGATTTTCTTCTTCCTGGCTGAATTTGCATCAGACAGAAGCTGCTGTGCGGTATGGTGCAATGGTCGCACTAGGAACATTTCTTAGGAAAGACATGTGCAGCCAGGTTATTTTAATATTATCTAAATCTTACCATCATATGTCCATCTGTACCATGCATCGTCTTGTGCATCATTTAAATATAAAGGAAAATTTAATCTTTTCCCCACAAATTATCTACAGCAGAGATATCCCACAAATCTTTTTTTCTAAATGGCAGGTCCATATGGAAGAGATCATGAAATTGCCAGAAGGTTTTCTACCAGTCATCAAAAATTGTTTGGATGAAGACTATTTTTTGGATGTGCGACGTGCCACTACTCACGTGATGTATCAGTTTCTTCGAGTTGGTGGTCTCATTTTGAGTGGTAACGAAGCACACAAAATTGTTCTATTACTTTAATGCTGTCAGCTTTCTTACTAGCAGAGTCGTCTTTTTCCTTATGACCTAAATTGTTTAAACTGTATGACTAACCCTCGTATATAAGCTCCGGATTATTTTTCTGAAATGCAGATGCAGTTTTCATACACTCATTGTCTTTCTAAGAAATAGTGTTTTTTTTGGGCTGATTGGGTCCTTAGACGAGGAGAGGTCCAAAATCATTAAACTTCTCTCTAAGCGTATGGATGATAGCAGCAACATCATTCGCAGATGTATTTTGCCAGCCGTGGAGATGTTTTTCACCACTATGCCCTTCTCTTTCAGCGATTCTGAGGTAATCGCCTTTATTTTTTAGGTTCAACACCCACCTATTTTTAGTGCGCAACCAACCCGAAATTCTTGCTCAAATGAATGCAATGGTGCAGATCGATCTGATCATACTATTAAAGCAAATGATAATAACACGCAGCTCTGTTTCAAAAATATAGAACAACAAGCTCCACTGTCTTTGCGCAAAAAAATCGGTTTTAACCTAAGATTTGTAAACACCTGTGTTGATGTCTTGTGTTTTTCAGGTGAAAGATTTTCTTTTATTACTTGTTGTTCATATGGATGACGAGAATCCTCAAATACAGGTGAAATCCTGATAAAACCCTAAGAACTTCAGATACAATTGCCACACAATCTCGTGTGACATGAATATATATATATATATATATATATATATATGTGTGTGTGTGTGTGTGTCCTTGCATGCGTGCTCTCATAAAAATATTGATTTCTTTGTGGGATATCTTTACTGCTTGAGGAGATTCAGATACTAAGTTGCATGAAAATGGTGTGCAAATGTGATGCAGGAAGGTGTTTGCAAAGCAATGCAGGCATGCGCTTTGAAAAAACCTAAGATTGTTAAGGAAGTTTCATGTGGTGCTTGTGGCCATCGGAAGAACCCACTCTGCCACGTCTATCGTGTCCTCAACGTTGTTTGTGATCACCTTCAACCCAGCTCCAGCCCAGACCAAATCTCCTCGGAACAATTGCAAGATTGATGGACCTCATGCAGATTGAAAACATGGAACAACAACATGCACATGAAAATTGGTTAACAATTCACGTGTTAAACCTCCTGATGTGTATCTAAACCGGGAAACATGTTTATTTTTGCAAAAATAGTTAATCCTTACCAACACATAATTAAAAAATTAAGCAGAAGGAGAAATAAGAAGGCTGAAGAATAGGTCGATGAAGAGCTTCCACATATCTCAATTATCTCAAATCTTTAAACCTCATTCTCTAAATACTAATGAAAGATTGTTGTTGCCCACATCCTAAGGGTATTCCATAATTAAAAACCCCATTTTGAAAGGCCATGATTCAAAATCCTCCTTTGGAAGTTTTGATTTTTGGATATATAGAATAAATAGATCAAATTATTCTCATATTACAAGTCTAAATATTTTACATCATTTCTTGATTCAATCAACTATGAGAAGTATAAAAGACTTAATTTCTTACTTTTTATTAGTTAATTTAGGCATTGTTTGATAGGGCTTTTTAAATTTTTCTAAAAACCACATCTTTGAGATGGATTTGACCAACATTTTGGAAGAGAATATTATCCATGCCAAGCAGAAAAGAATAAATGCCATGGCATCTCTTCTTCTCAATGCCTTAAAATTTATTTTTCCAAGTATAAAGAGGCCTCTCAATTTTAACGAATCAAAACATTCAAAAGTTAAGGTTTCTCACCTTGTCCTCTAAATATAAAGTGACCCTTATATCAACCAAATCTTCAAAACCAACTGAATTTTTCTCACAAATTTCACCTTTGTGATAAATTAACACTTACAATTCTATAAAATAACCAAAATTCTAACAAAGATATACCTTCTCATAAATATCTCATTTCTTGAATTTATGGTTTGATTTGCATCATAATAATTTTTTTCCACACAATGATATTGTGAGATTATGTTTTTAGTGAGTCTCACTTGAATTCTGAAACCAGTCATGTGATGTGGTTCCGGAGAGTGGTGACAAAGATTCTACTTCAACTTGATTGCCCATGCTCTTCCACAATCATGTCTTGGTTGTTTTGTTTGTTTGTTTTTTTGGTTTTTTGGTTTTTCTTTTTTGCATCTGCAAAGCTTGTCATAAATGCTGTAAAACTACTTGAAACTCAGCTTTGATTCCCTGCCCCATCCCTGTAGCTCGCACATTGCTGTCTGCCGTGATCGAATCCAAATGTTGCCGTTGTTTCTGCTCCTCCGAGTTGTTCTAGTTCCTCAACAAGTAGCGCAAATGGTAGCCGTGATAATTTAACCAAGTATGTAGGAAATATCAATTTTAGCATAGAATCAGTTTTTGCCTGATTTTTTTTGTTTTTCTTTCAACATCCTCTTCAGTTACGACACCACTCCTGGTTGGAGGCGACTCTTGAATCTGTGCATGTTCTAGATGGGACCTCGGTGTGCACATCAAATGCGAATTCAGCCCATACCTGGTGAAAATTGTGGTGATGTTCGATCACATCTGGTGAGACCTCGCTAGTAGACATGCATTCAAAAGAATTGAAGCCAAATTCGTGTGAATGAGCTTTTCCTCGTGAACAAGCACACAGAAAAACACAAGAATGTCAAATATGGGGCCCGAAGATCAAACCGAATTCATCACTATGTCGAGTCCGAAGGAAGTGGAAATCCCCCTGAATTGAGCCTGCACACATTCTGACCACCAAGACATAACAGCTAGTAAATTGATATTGCTAACATGTCCCGGAGGACACAAGACCAAAAACACGAAACAGGATACAGGGCGAGTTTCTACTCCTCAGAAGAAGCCATAGCCCAGTATTTTAAGTACAGTAATGCTCCGAGCCAGGGTCCTCTCGTCGCTCAGTGAGGAGGTACAAATTGAATCACTCAAGTCACGTTGCACTCTCAAGTTGAATCGCCCGTGATCACTATGCGGAGATGGGACTGAATCTCTAACCCGGTGCTTCAGGACGGGCGTAACTATTGCTGTTACTCATCAATGTGGGCTGTGAAATCTTAACCCTCGTCAGTGTACAGCAGCTTCAAAATCGTCCCGAAACTGATTACGTGCATGACCAACGCAACACCAGATACGGTGATGTAATAATTCTCAATTCCAACCAGGTGCGAGAAAATTGGTCTTCCTAAGACTTGCAGCAACGATGCGATTTCAAATACATGTCCACCACTTCCATCATCGTGCCCATACAAGCTGTCAAATATTAGAAACTCACCGTAGATGGCTGAAATTTACGGTTATGAAAGTGAACCTAAAATCTTTCAATCAGTCCGGAACACAATATGCCTACAAGATCACAATAACTAACCAAAGATACTGTTCAAATGAACGAGAATGCACTTTAGACTACAATGTTCGAGAGAGGAAGGAGCAAAATGACTTGAGACAATATTTTAGAAAAACAAACACAAAGAAGCAAGAAGAAACAACCTGCCTCATCCTTAATGACTGTTACGAATCCGTCGTACTTGTATCTCCACTTCATTCGCTCAAATGCTGCAGGTCCTTGCAAGCACAGAGCTCCTCCCCTAACCAAGTGGGGCCTTCCCCAATGCTGCAACTAGGTTTAAAATTGCTCCATCCTTAGTGACTCGTGAACGCATGAATGGTCATAGGCGAAGCAGAGTAGGTTAGTTTGATCGAGAATGACCACATTTTTAATTAAGCTGCAAACAGTTTCTGCTCCTGCGCATTTTCTCAACACTCTTCAGTTCATCTCATTCACTGCTTGTACATCCCCGTCCTAGGGTGAATCTGCTGTGGGTTCTGGTTTTGCTGAAATTTCAAGAGGATCCATGTAAGGGCAGAGGACTAACATATGTTGCTTGATTTTCTGAGATGAAGGGATGCGAATTTTAAGTCATTGAGGCGCTCTACCATTTTGATTTGTGCTATTGCCGGCAATAATCTCATCAAGTTTCAACCAATCGTCGTCTCAGTGATTCCAGAGGGTTATGGTGATGTCTTCTGTCTGAGTGTATTCTTCTGAAGATTGCGTCGGCGGAGGGATAAGATCCTCCCGATTTTAGCAGATGTAACAGTCCGTGATATAATTCCGGGTTTATCTGAAGTGTCGAGTCTTGAGAAGAAATGCTACTGAAGGATCCGAGTCTCAAGACATTCGAGATTTGCTTTATACTGCAGTGGTCACGTTTGTTACTCTGCGTCCTGTCAATTTTTGTATAGATATAAATAGTCTTCTATTTTTAACCTGGAATCCGTGAAATTACCAGTTCTTGTTGTAATTGGCGCTGCTAACTTTGCGAATTGACGCAAGTGTTCTTGAGGGTGGTGCGAGTAGAGTATGGACAGACAATTTGAAGGGGTTTTTCCACTTTCAATAGCTGCGTCGGAGTCTTTCCATCACCATGCAAAAGAAAGAGGACTAGGAAAAGAGTGGAGTTATGGAGGTGAAAAGCAGATCATGCAAGACTGGTCTTGTGCAAAGCGGAAGGCTGGAGAGCGCATTGCCTTCATGAAAATGGTGGGATATTTTTCTGAAGGTCATCCCCGCCTCTGATCAGGGAGGTGACCAAGCTGCAGAACTGGGATTATCGTTTCCACACACAGGCATCTCTACCCTCTCCGCACGAGACCATGTCTCGTAAACACTACCCTTCTGTTGTAATAGTTTCCTTGGGCTCACCACTTGCTTCTTGCGTGGCTCTTTCAAAGGCGAGTCATAAATACAGAGTTTGAAGACATTAAAGGTATCATCCACACCAAGAAGCTGCAATTGATCACCCACAGATGTAACTTGAAATTCCATAAGTTGTCATTCACACAACAATACAGAATAGGAGGAGAGAGTGGCAACTTCCTTGTAAAGTTCGTCTCCTGAGTGGTATGCAGCAGGTAAGTTTCTTTCTAATCAGATCACTGTCCGTCGGAATTATATCAATGCCTTGCTTGGTAACAGACTAGTTCATAAACTTCACTTTTGATGAGGTAGTAGTCGATAATTATGAATTGCAGGTGAAGGGTTTGGAATATGTAGTTGAGATCATTAACTATCCACTTTTGCGGGAAGAGTATGTCCTTGGAATTAGCTTTCAGAATGTCCAACTCAGTGCAAGTGAACAGCAAAATGGAAGACTGAATCAAAACCCACTGAAATAGTGTGAAGGTGAAGGTTGAGGCTCTGTGTGGTCAAGCAAGTGAAGCCATTCAACATGTGTTTTTCAACACCCTCGCTACGTGGGTAAGGTGAATGTTTAGAACAATTCACAGAAAGTGGATCTTATGGAGTTGATGTGTCGTCTAGGAGACAAGTGTTCAGCAGCTGCAACTTGTTCCATGTGCTCAACAGATTCCGGACAAGGAGACCCTTCAATTGGGTGAATATGATACAGACTTCATCAGCAGTAGCTATGGTGGCACCATTTGGAACTATTCGCTTGAAGACACCGCAGATCCTCAACATCCATATTTTATTCCCGAGTGGCTCGATCTCTCCCGCCTCCCAGTAAGCGTGTTGCACCACCAGACCTTCTACTTGGATTCAGATCCTGCTTTTTTTTAGATTCTTCGCAGTTTGATGAATGAAACCTGTCTGAAAAAAAACGTTTTCGCTACCATCTCCAGTGCGTCCTGCACTACTAGACCTATCTAAAGCCCATCATGGTCAAGGCAAGCATTAGATTAATAAACAAATAATCAAAAAACGATATTCTTAACACCCCATTTCTTCAGAAAGCCTACATAGTTTCCAAAACTGTAGCTGTCTCCATCTACACAGTTGTCTAAAGCAGAACAACAGCTGTATTTTGTTCTGATTTAAGTCAAGCCTTCTATTTGTGACTTGATTAATCTTTTTCCCAAAGCCATGGTTTCTCCATTTTTCTGTTGATTTACCTTTCACCCAAACAGTGGTTTTGTTGCTTGTGTTGTGTTCTTCATTAGACATTTAAGGAGGAAGAGTAACTCTGCATCAGACTTAATCAGGGCTGCCTTGTACCTCAGCGATAGAAGCTATTGCATCATCCACGTAGGCTTTTGTAATGAGGCTGACGTGGTTCAATATTGTCGACACGTCAGATGCTCCTTTGATGATAATGTGTTGCTTTTCACAGACCTTTGGGATGTTCAATTCCACTCGCTAATGTTTGATAAAAGCTCCTTTTTTTTGTTTTTCCTTCCTCTTTTTCTTTTTTTTTTCTTCTTCTTCTGTGTTTGTTCTTGAATGAAGATTTTATAACCTCTTTTGGACTTTTTCTTTAACAAATGATTCTGATTGTTTGACGCTAGCACTGAATCAGGAATGCAATATTTTACCCGGAGGATTTGTGATGTTTTAGACTTTCCTTTTTCTCAGTTGACATTTAATTTGTTTAGAAATTGATTCAAGTTAGACGGTTCTTTTTCAAAAAATATTTCTTGTTTTTTTTTTGTGGCAAACAATACTGTAAAGATGTCTTTTAAACAATTTCAATTGATTTTTTATTGTAAAATATTACCAAATCTCCATCCACTAATAAATGTATTCATATAAATATAAATATTCACATATGTATGTGTGTGATTACTTAATATTGACTTCATTCATCTATCTATCTATACAAATGATTAGTTAGTATTGACCATTCATTCATTCATTCATATATATATATAAGTGATTAGTTAGTATTGACTTTAGGATATTCATATTCTGTATCTATTACTACAAAGGGATCTACACAAGAGGCAAGATACGTCGCCCAAGCGGCGACGACGACGACGACGCTCGTCGAATCCACGTCAGATTCAATCAGATTCTCGTCCGATTCTCGTCCGATTCTCGTCCGATTCCTCGTCTCACCCAAACGAAGATTCAGGATAAGTCGCATTAACTCCTCCACTGGGAAGGGCCACACAATGCTTATCAAGACTCTTCATCCCCGCGATTTCCATCCCAGCCGTCCATGCCCTCACCATCCAACGAATTCAACCCTCCCAAATTCCATCCGTCCGATGGGCATCCATCGACGGCGAGTCAAGAGGTGGTGTGATGTAGAGGGGATAGGACACCACGACCTGGCGCACGCCCAGCCGTCCGATGAGAGATCCGAAGGCCCAGAGCGGCCAAGACCCCCACGCATAAGCCCCCCTTTGTAGTCTTGTGCCCGTTTCAACATCGTCTTGTGTATATCCGAGCGTTGCATGAGATGATAGAATTGGTGCCAACTAGAAGAAGAAGAAGAAGCTTTTAGCTGCAATTGTTTGTGTGAAGCTCCCTTCGTAGCCTCTCAATAGTGGAATAGCAAGAATCCTTTTTAAACAGGGCAAGGGCAGGATGGCGTCCAGCTGCATCCGCCAGGTATGTAATGCTTGATGGTGTTGCAGTACCTCGGATTCACTCAATCATGCGAGAGCAAGAAAGAGAGCGAGAGAGAGAGAGAGAGAGCTATGAAAGTGGATAAGCCATTTCAATGGAGCTTTGGGAGAAATTTTGTTGCTCTTTTTGTAGCTGGGTAGTGGCTAAGCTATGGACTTGCAATCATTCGAAGCAGGAATTCTCTGATTTTCGGACTTGGGCTCTTCTGCTTGGTGCGGACAGTAGTCGCGAGCTGCGTGCTCTTCTTCGGGCCCTGCAGTGATGAGTGTCTAATCTCTGGGGTGTGGAGACGATGCCCGGTTGATAAGGTTATTGGGTGATCGTGCTGATGCTGTGGGTCGTGGTTTTTTGTGTAGATGGCTACTTTGTCTCTCAGTAGCAGAGTGACTGCTGCGCCGAAGGCCTTGAAGGTTGTTGGTCTGTCTTCGCCTTCTCTTACTCCTGCAGTCAAGCCATTCTTGAAGCAATCTTGTGATCCGCTCAACGCATCCTTCCAGGTGAGTTAGCCCCCCTGCAATTGGCTTTTGATTCAACCCAGATCACTGAGCTAAGATGACTACGTAACTGACATATTTCAGCTGGAACGGGAAAAGGGAATTATCAAGCCAATATATGCCCATTGTGAAGCTGGGTTACTTGTAGGTTATGAATTGTAGCTCAAGTCATCTAAGTCGACTTGTCATCGTTACTTTGAGAGCTCGTCAATATTCAGAGAAGTTTTAATTTACTCTTTCCTGGACTAGCTAAGTGACTGAATTAGGGTTTTTGATTTTTCTCGTAGGCTGCTCTCCCCCTGAAGGCTGGAGGAAGGGATAAGTTCATTGTTTTTGCCCAAGCTGTGACAACAACCCCAGAAACTGAAGCCGAGGCCGACGCTCCCACTGTGACCGAAGCCTCTGAAGATGCCCCAGTAGCTGCACCGAAATCCAAGAAGCTCATGAAGAACGTGAAGCACATCATGCAGGTATGGGATTTCAAATTTCCTTTTAGTAACTTTCAGGGCAACGAAAATGCACTTTATTCTAGAGCAAGATTATTTTACACACTCGTTACACACACTTGTGTTTTTTTTTTTGGTTGCAACCAATTGCTCGGACAAGGCCTTAATACATCGCATGCTGCTATCTTGATATCCTTGAATAATCACGAAGCTTGTATTCTCAGAGTCTCCAAGAGGATGCGTTGAAGGCTGCCAATGAAGTGAAGGTCATTCCTGATATTCGACCAGGGGATGTCATTCAGCTCAGAGTTGTGAGTAACTTTCTTCTCGATTTTTCTTGCTTCACCTTATGCAATCCAGTTCTAATTTAATTATTTCCATGGACCGCACTTCAATGTCATATTGACCATTCACTCATCCTTAAGGCTGCCTGCAAATTTCTGTTTTTCGTTTTTTGTTCTTTTTATTTTTTTGATTTTTGCAAATGTATGAATCTAATCGTTCTGCTTTGGATCTCCTGCAGGAAGTGCCTGAGAACAAGCGCAGGGTGTCTCTACTGAGAGGAATCGTCATTTCACGCCACAATGCAGGCATCAACACTACCTTCCGAATTAGGAGGGTTATTGCCGGGGTTGGTGTTGAGATGGTTTTCCCACTGTAAGTACTCATTGTCAATCACGATGCTTCTGCGTACTATCTAGTATTACTGTGAACAGTGAGGTGTTTTCTCTTTTACTTGAGTTGCGATAAAATCTTTATCTAACCCTAATCTTTGTGAACTTTTGTGTAGATACTCGCCTAATATTAAGGAGATTAAGGTGGTAGACAAAAGGAAGGTGCGGAGGGCGAAGCTCTTCTACCTACGTGACAAGATTGCACGCATGTCATCTTGCTGATAATTCCTAAGCCACTCTGTTTTCGGTGATAACGAGATAAGATTCTTTTTCTTCGTAGTGCTTTAGGTAGAGAGAACGATTCGGAAAGGACATAATCCTTGAAGCATTGCACAGATTCTTGCGATTGTGCAATGAGAGGAAAAAGATTGGAAATTCACATGCAAGACTTTGCTTCGCTGATATCAGTCTTTTTGATCTGCATAAGCCAAGTCTATTTTTGTTGAAAGCCCTTGGCATTTTAGTTCAATTGTAATCTACATAGTAAATGGAATCCTACCATTACTCTGTGTTCTCCGTGCTATTAGCCAGTCGGGTTTTTGAGCAATCTTGCACGTAGTATCTCCCACATCGAGAGTTCCTATTGCGCCTGTGTGGAAGGAGCTACTTCCATTCCTAGCGTCCACATGTAATGCATCATTTTAGAATATCGTGGAGATAAGAGTAGTGCACAGCGTCGACACTTTCTTCATTTGATCCGAAATTGGGTTCATGGGTTAGGTCAGTGATGGACCCTCTTTCTATTGCCAAACGGTTCCAGCCCTTGCCAAACCAAAGCAGCTGGTACATATGTCTGATGGGCTGCTTCTTGCCGTCTTGCAACTCATGGGCAAGTGGAACAATTTCCTAGTCCGAAATACTTAATCGTACGTAAATATCCTCCCTCCCACCCGACTTTCTTACAGAACACTCTCTTACATCATCGTCCTTAGAATCCGATGCGATAATGAATCCCTTATATCTCCACGAGCTCCGGCTTGCATCATTCTGAATTTTGCAACAGTTCATTGTCGCATCTAGATCTGGTACCAGCAGGACAACATTACTGTCTAATAATCCCAAGCGTCCTGTATGCTTCCACTACTACCAAATTCGTCTTCCACCGACACTGGAATCTTGTATCGCACTCTTACAATACTGTTAACGTCCGAACGTATGTCAAAACTATTGAGCACTCATCACAAATTGTTGAAAACCGAATCAGTGATTTCTCTGCGAAGGAACTTTACAGAACTCTGTTGATCCCATTAGGTATCTTGAAATTTTAAGTTCCCTAAAGGTCCGCTGTTCCTTATTACCTATGACTATCGCATGGATAATCTAACTCGCATTGACTAGTATCAAATACTTCTCCTGGCTGATTAAAGTCCTGATTGAGGCCTCTGCCAACGATGTAGCATACCATCAACCACCAACCACACGAACTGTTCAACACGGAAGACAACGCGATCAGTCTCGAATCACCTTGCAATGTTCAAAGACTACCCAAAAAAGCTGAAAACTGGGAAAACGTGATACACAGGACCACATTCATAAGTTATTTCTAAGTAAGCCCTCATAATTAAACGAACTATATGAGTTACACTACAAAAAAGGAAAGTTAAGAAAAAATAGACAGATTCCGATCCAAATTGCATTGAAACAGCAAATTGTGTGTACATGAAATGGTCCACAAAAAAAGTACCAAGAAGTAACGTCTTCGGTGTCCGTGAATTGAAGGCCACTGCATGCACGAAATATTGAAGATTTTAACATCCAGATCAGTAGAAAACTATGTTGCTGAAAATGAGAGACAAAAAAGATCAGGAGTAGTAATCGTATGTAGAGTGTTGTGCTCCATTAGTCACATAAATACCAAGATGCGTTGTTGTGAGTTGGTTTTTGCTTTATTATTTGATCTCAAACTCATTGGGAGTAAGACGAAGCCATCAATGTAATGACCTAGCCAGAATCATGAATAATTAGAATGATCCAGTTTCCTACACTCTCCGAACTTTACATTTCCGTGTACTAAAATGAAGTTTGCTAACCTGCTACTATTCTCTAGCCTTCAGTAGAGGGCTCAGTGTCAAAAATACTACGTCGTGACCTTATCTCCAGCCGCTGTCTACCATCATACCTCATCTTGACTGCTCTTGAGCGACTATCAAATCCTGACTGCCTCATCTATCCTGACCATCAAAATGTGGTAACAAAACTACTACCAGAATTCTAGCGGCTCTCTTCAACAAAAAGAATGCTAAAATGTTCAATTGTGGGGCCAAAAAATATGAAAGAAATATCTAATGACCGTCTGCATGTGCCTTGGTAGATGGTACGATCTCTTTAAGGAAGTTGCTAAGCTGCTCACTGTAAAGTTGAGGATGGCTCCGAAAATGATCAACATGAGGAGAAGACTGTAGATTACAAGTCCTCACTACTCGTCCCGACTTCCGCTGTTCTTCGATGAAAGCTTCAACAGCTTTTACTGGTATAACCTTATCAGCAGTGCTGTAGATGTACAGATGTGGGCATGGAGGCTGCTTCTTCTGAAGAACCCTCACCACCTCTGATAACCGCCTGCACAATCGGGTTAAGTTAAGAGAGGATTAGCAAAACAAGTACGCAACATCACCTTCATAAGCAAGCAGCTCAGTAGACTTAATGCACCAGATCAGGAATAGCTGATAATAATCTTTCATTCAATGAACTGTGCTTATTCAAAACCTGAACATACAAGCACCAGCCTACATTCAATGGACTCCTCATCAAGCACTTCCGAATCAAAGAAGCTTATAGTCGATCACTTACTGGTTAATCGTAGGCAGTCTTAAGAAAAGAGAGAAAAATCCTTCTAAAAGTGATAAAACCACCGTTTCAAAACTATTGGTTCCTTCAGTTTCGAAAGTGGCACCGGTGTTCACAGACACAGATTCTACTGTTACACCTTCCTTCACTTGTCCTTTTAACGAGCCTGGCTTTGTGGCACTACTACGTTTCTTCAGAAGTGCAGCTAAGAAACCAGATGCCCACACCTGTTCATCGACATATACCGAACATAATGTTATCAACAATGTTCGGGTATTTCTAACGGCATTCGAAAGCAACAAAAAATTACTGCTAGAAACACGTCTCCGCTAATGCATAAATAGGGAAGAACCGCTAAGCTAAGGTTGCGACAATACCTGAGGATCTGGGTCAGGGACTGGTGCAGAGTCAATAACACACCCTTTAATTTTACCTAAGAGATGACCTTGGTCTTGCATCTTCTCCAGAATGATTCCGTATCTGCATACAAATGCGATCGACATTAAGGTTCCGTTAAAATCTCCACAACATCAAAACCGAGGTACAGTGTCACTGCTAACCATAAGCGTTATTGACTTCCAGCTTCAACTCATTGGTCGAAGGACAGATCTAAAAAACCATGACTTCATACATGCACAGCTCTCAGAACAGACTTCATCCCGCCTGAGCTTCTGTTATCTTTGCTGAAATTGTTAAAGCTACGAATCGGACCAAACAGAACTGAGAAAGGAGAGGTACGTCAAAATACCACTCACGTCAGCCAGCCCGTGTTGCTGAAAGTGTGAAACATGAGCTGTTTCTCACCATCCGCATCGCCATGTTCGCCTTGATCGGATAGCCACTGAGCAAGATGACGTGCCAAAAAGTCCACATGCTCTTCTGCATTCTTTTCAACCTTGAAGCTCAGGATGTCTGCCATAGGAATCACAAAAGTAACAGCATGGATTCCTCTTGCATTATACCACTCAGCATACTTTTTCAAATGCTTCTGTTGGGCACCCAACCACCCTAGAAGCACCACGGTGAGAACCGGTTTCTTCACAAGGGCATCCTGAGCAGCATTGCAGTTATCAAGATTCGAGTTTTGGGCGTCTGGAGCGTGCCACGTATGAAGAGATCGCGACGGATGTGTAGAAAAATTGTTTTGGAGGGAGGGTTGGATAGATACGAGGGTTGAAAAGAGAGATTCCAGGTAGGTCAAAGTGTGCGTCTGCGCAGAATGCTTTTGGTTGAGGGAATGATAAGACAAGGTATGAGAGTAGGCAGAATTCCCACACTGGTTCCAACCCTGAAACCCGCCCGATATGTGCTTTTGAGTCACCGGAGCAGAATACAACCCTGAGGATAAGAAAGAGAAAGGCGCCAGCGCAGGAGGTGTAATGCAAGACGTACTAGGGTACAACGACGAATTCAAAGCAGATACGTGCGGCACTATAGGCGTCGCATGGTAGACCGGGTAAAAGTGAGAGAGTGCCCGCCGCGACGAGGTTGACAGGCAGGATACACCTGACGCCCCTTGCGCAAAGGAGAAAGAAGATGACGCGTACAAAGAACCAGTAGAGGGAGGTGTGGCACAAACTTTCGGAGGCAGCATCCGCGGCAAAGACACAGAACAGGATGCGCCATCACCGCAGCCGAAGGAGTCAGAGAGAGAGGGCAGGGGAGGAAGAGGCATAGAAACCGGCATCGCGTAAAATAGGATGGGCACGGCTTTCAGATGCAGCTTGTCGGGCATGTCCATCTTCGCGAATGCGGTCGCCAGCACAACAGCGGCAGCCGCAATGGATCCATGGACAACCCGTGCCCCTGCACCTCCCCCCATGTATTCACGAGGTGTGCATAAAATCTCCTCAGCTCCAATTAACCTAAAAACTTCTCAATTCCAATTCGAAAATCCCTAAAAGCACCGAAAAACAATTCCTCGCAACAGGTCATCTAGTAACGAATATCCCACAAACCCTTCAAAACATGCAGCACCGCCTCCAGCCTATCAATTCTCCATAATTCTCACATTGCGCGGCAAGAAACATCCCAAGAACGCTTACCGCGAACAAACACTCTACAAAAATAAAAAAATAAAACTAAATAACATCAACTAAACCAGCTACTCGCACATTAAATTTCGAAGGCGGTGCCGTTTTTCACTCTCCCAACCTCAAAAGTTCTACACACAACACCATGATCCGGGGATATTCCAATAAACTATAACCTAAACCAGAACACAAACCCTTTATCAAAAACCCACCGAACGATCACACAAACATCCGCCAAAAGTCAGAAAGCCATAGCCATCGCCGACGGCTCTGTCCAAAGTTTCTTCTCCAAACTCCCACGACCCTGAAACCCAATGCCAGGAATCTCTCACACGGGACCTTCAACGACTACGATACACAATCCCTCACGACGACTCGTGAGTTGATTTATCCAAGTCGCATCGGAACCGAGGTTGTGGAGGAAGGCGGTGGCGAGACAGGGTGGTGGATTCCCCGACGACCCCGCCGTTCCCGCCGCCTCAGCCGCGCGTCAACGCTCGCGTCGTAGGAACGCCCGGCGATGTATCAGCCGCTGACGCGTGATAGCGCTGACGGCGCCGCGGGATCTTACGGACCAGAGTGGTCTGAACGAACGGCCACAGTTCCACTGGATTCCTTCTTGACACATTCTTTATTAATATTTTCCCTTTTGAAAAATAAAAGTATACCAATAATAGTTGATTTAGAATACTAGAGTAGGGGTAACTTATTTTTGGGTCCTTTATATTTATTTATTTATTTTTAACCTAAGAGTGCATGACTTTCTCATTTTGTTGTATTAGAATAGATCACATGCACAAACGACTAGCTTGTCCCTAACAAGTAGATGGCATTTGTAATTATTTATTATTATTATTTTTTTTTTTTTGTTGTTTGTTTACAATTTAATCAACCATATATCCTAAAAAAATGTTGAAATGTTTGGACATAATGCATGATCTTTCTAGAGTATATATTGGGAATGGTCCTTAAAGCTGGTTATGTCTTTATTTAGAAAATAAAAAAATAAAAGTATACACATACATAAGGTTGTGACTACAATTGCTAAAGGAATTTATTTTTTCAAGATATTAGCATGAAACAGCGGATCACCGAAAGTGATAATGATTTAAAACAGCATGAAGGAATCTATGTAAAAATAGAAGGGGTCCCGTATGTATGCTCTTGTTTATTTATATGATGTAAATCATAAATGACGATGGAATGGTTTAAAAGATTTTAATTGTGCTACCACTTGACATTTTCAATTGAAAAAAAAAGAAAAAATTAACCATTATTTTTATTGTTTTCAAATGTCATAGTAGTGGAGCTGGAGAAAACAAGTAAACAGCTTGTTAAAGACTCCAAAAACATGATAAAAAAACTGTTTTTTTTTTTTTTTTTTTTTTTTCTCATTTATTTGTGCTTACAAAAAACCATTAAAATGATGCGGCTACCATTGGAGGCTTACCATGAATGATTTTTGAATGATTAAAAGTAAAAATGCAACAATTCAAAAGATTACAATCACATGAAATTGCTGTAAGTCTTAACGAACAGTGAGTGGCATCAACAAACAAAATGTCCTTTCTCTGCTCACCTCCACACCATGAAAAACGTGCAAATCATCAATGGTATCATAAAAATTTGCAGCGGATAACAAACAATAGAAGAGTGATTCCAACCAAACACACAAATCTCAAATATGAAGCCTTATCATGTGCTGGGTTTGCAACTTGGAATGCAAACCCCTGAAGGTTACAACAAAGGTAGACGTGCCCAAACTGGATTGAACTCCTCTAACAACAACATACAACCCAATAAATCTGAAATGAGCACCATTTTCCAGATAGTTACTTCTGAGTTGGGTAGCATCTGGAAAATGGTGCTCATTCCAGTAGCACCATTTTCCAGATAGATCTGAAATTAGGCACCTCTCTACCTTTAATAGGCATAAAAAAAGACAGATCAGGATTTTAGTCTAAACATTCACACACGCATTCACAGACATTTCCTGTGCAATAGCAATTGATGCAGCAAAAGGCAGCCTGGAACTAACAAAAGCAGACAAGCCCAAGCTCGGATTTTTGTCACAAGCGGAGGTGAGTCCAGGGACGAAGTGTCCGACTGATCATCGTCACACATGAGGTATGGTTCGCTCATGTATGAGTTTGGTTTCTTTTACGTATACAATAGAGGACTCACCTTCCTTGTGGGTTTATTATCTGTGAGAAGACCGCGGTGTGCTTAGTCGAGTTATCGTCATCGCTGATCAGAATATGGTGATCACTAGATATGGAGGAGTAACTGTCGTCAAGCGCGAAGTCACGCATGGCCTGAGGGATGGGAGAGACCGCTGGAGCCCTGGTACCGTATGGAATAGATTGTATCGACACAGATGATGAATTTACTGAAGACAACTCGTGAAGCTGCAAAGCCTGCTCTAGGTTCCACAGCACGTCACCCATGGCTGGCCGATCCACGCCGCATTCTTGAAGACATTTCTCCGCTGTTTCACCGAGCTTGCGCACCGACTCCGGGCTGGCCTGGCCAACAAGCCTGGGATCTATGATTGACTCCAGATTCCCAGCCATTTGATGCTGCATCGCCCACTCCGCGAGGTTCACTTGGTCGCGAGGAAGAGCCGGATTGATCGCAGGCCGTGCACACAGAACTTCCATAAGCACCACGCCAAAAGAGTAGACATCGGACTTCTCGGTCAGTTGTTGCCTCCTGAAGTACTCAGGATCCAGATATCCGAAACTTCCCTTCACTGCTGTGCTAATGTGAGTCTGCTCGAGACTCGGACCAGTCTTCGATAGACCAAAGTCAGCAACTTTGGCAACTAGATTCTCATCTAACAAAATGTTCGTGGTCTTCACATCACGATGAATGATTCCTTGCGCTGCCCCTGTGTGCAGATAATGTAGGCCTCGAGCGGAACCGATGCAAATTTTCAGGCGCTGTTTCCATGACAAAGGAGGGAGATCGGTCCCGTATAAGTGGCCCCGGAGGGGACCGTTGGCCATGTAGTCATACACGAGGATCATCTCAGAATGCTCTTCACAGTAACCAATCAATGACACCAAATGCCGATGTCGCAGCTTTGAAAGCAGCTCGATTTCGGTCTGAAACTCCGCCAATCCTTGGTCAGAGCATGGATTCCCTCGCTTCACTGCAACCTTAGTGCCATCGTCTATCTCGCCCTTGAAAACCTTCCCGAAACCACCCACTCCCAAGATCAGAGAATCATCGAAGTTATTGGTGGCCTCCTGAAGCTCCGCGAAGGTGAAGTACCGTCCAAGATTGCCACCCGGTACAGTCGACGCATAACTACCACTTCCGCTCTTTTGAGAGACGGAGGACATCTTGCTCACAACGGAGTCTGTGAACCCGTGAATCGGCAACCATGACGACGGTGGCGGCTTCCTGGTTGAGGTGGAAGGCAATTTGGGGGACTTCCGGCAACAAGAGAAGAAAATCAGCACCACCGCCAGTACGATAACAGCAAACCCTCCCACTGCGGCTCCCACAATAGCTCCTGTTTGTATGCCACTACCCCCATTCCCATCCCCACCGACGTCACCTCCCAAACTCCCTGAAGTGGTACTGAGCTTCCAGATCTCTAATCCATTCAGGAATGGCTTTTTTCCAGACGTTACTGATGCATCCGGCACAGTCCCCACTTGCACCTTTAAGATGGATCCTCCCGTCGTCATATTGACAAGAAAGTCTTGAAACATAGGTTGGTTCGGTGGCGTATCAAGAAACAATGAGCTTATTCCCACCATGTTGTTAACGTAAATTCTTAACTCAGGGTTCCCCGTATAATTCGTTTCAATCTTACAGAAATGCAAGCGCAAAAGATAAGTAAAGCCCAAGTCGACGGTAAAGGTCCATGTGAGGTTGAGTTGGCCACCTGCAGTGACTACAGTGACATATCGCATAGATTGGTACACGATCTGCGGTGCAACGTCTAGCCCCGCTTCACTTGCATACGAGATGATCGAAAAAGGATTACTGAAATTATAACCCTTCATAGACATAGACACGTAAGGTCCATCGGATTCCCAAGTACGAAACATCCCTAAAGAATCATCCATTGTGGACAGTGAGTCTCCACCTACATTCACATGGTACATCGTCTCCAGAGCGCTGTTGGCAGTATTCGAGGGGACTCTTTCACTCCCATCCGACCCTACCTGGAAAGCATAAGATTGTAACACATCCTCTGACGTGGAGATCACCTCGATTGCGTTAATGAAGGCATACGAGGACGCCGCCGGATCAAAGGTGAGCTCCAACTTTTTAATGGAAACGTGCAAGGAGTATTCCTTGAAAATCAATGGTTTAGAAGCATTCTTGTATAATTCAGGCTGGAAGTCGTTAAGCAGCCTGTATTGGTTAGCAATTACAGAAAACTTCGAGTCCTTGGATTTGTAGTTCTGAAAGTCGAAGGGGTAGAAATAGAGCCGGATATTGTATCGTCCACCACTCACTTGAAATGTGTAAATCGATTTGGCTCGAAAAAACCGTGCCTGCTGGAATAGTTTAGGATTTGGAAGATTATTCCCCGGGGTACTGGTGGAACCCACCTCTCCCGAGGAAGACAGTGTGGGGTTTGACAAGGGTGCCGGGCCGCTATCTCCCTTAAAGATACGTGTGTCGACTGTTGTTACGTTTCCTGAAGCACCACAGGCAACGAGAAGTTCGTCCGTGGGCACAAACGCACGCACTGTCCACATCGCTGTAGCGAACTGTAACCCAAGACATATCGCCCATACCGAATGGACACCCATCTTCACCTCGCTTTCACTTGAGGTTACAAGCTCCCTTGCCTAGAGCAATCCAGATGAGATGGGAACCAGAACGGAATTGAAAAAGCAGGGTTTCATGCCACTGTAATTGCCCTTCTTCTAAGATGTGTCATCGCTGGTCCATTCTTCAACCTTAACAAACGCCAGGTATCATTCCTGTCAATCTAGTTCACAAACAGTCATCTTACTAAGACAACTCATGGTCAACAATAAGATGCATCGTCAAAAACATGAGGAGACAGGCAGCGTCTCATTTCTTCGGAGTAGGGACTCCTCTACAGTTCACGTACACTTCGCGTATGATCCCAAGAACGTCGAAGAGAATCACATCGAAAGAATCCAACATCCACAATGCATGAACACTATCTGCCTTCCGTGAGATGATGCAATAAACATGTGGTTCTAAAGATCCTCTTCAAGAGTACACTAGTGAAGTACCCACAGAAATCTACACGGACTTTAGCAGCTTCAGCCACTAGAGTTCATAAAAGGGGGCTGCCATCAAACCCTGTATTCAGATCAAAAGAACAAAAGCCCAGATCGTATTGTGAACTTCGTGTTCGAAGCGATTCTCGAAATTCCAGATCACCTGAAGCTGAACCGAGAGATATGCAATCTGTCAAGGAAAATTGCGGGCACGATCACTCAGTTCAGCGTTGCAGTGGCAGCAAACACTCCACCACACACTCCACCTGCACTGTCTGCAAATTATGTAATTGCAAGTCGCCACCACTACGACCCTGACAAAACGCGTTCACAAAACTTTACAATTCCACAGCCGTTGTTACAAAATCCCCAAATGCTCCAACAAAAACATGCACAAGAATGAACGGCTCCTTGCTTTTTTTGCACCCCACAACTTTTCATCCCGTCCTTCAAAATCCTAACCAACTTCTACCGACAAGGGACAATCGCCCAAACATTGCACCACCACCACCACTCTCAAATCAATCAAGCCTCTTCCCTCACACTCATCCCCTCCTCAAACCCAAACCTTGTGCCCACGACGCCGAAGTCACAAATCATAGCGCGCCCCCCCCCCTACAACAAACTACATAGCCTAGTCCCGGACTATGTCTTCAGTGGCTGGCTACCATATGTTGTTATAAAATAAACAATGGGAGAATCCTTTCTAGTCAATCACACGGAAAGCCGAGTCAACGGAACAAAGCCAGTGCACCGAGTATAATTACATGTTACATCACATATCCTCTCCACATTGCATTGCAAGCATCAAGCAATGAGGCCGAGCTGAGTCACACCATTTCTGACTTCTCCCTATCTCCCACTCTCTCTCTTTGTCTATCTTTGCTATCCTTGACAATGTGGGGCACAACGTTTGCCTCCACACCACCATCCCTTCCTTCCACCGTTTCACTCCACCATCTTTAATGTGGAAGTCAACCCACTTTTAGTATGGAAGCTCACTTGCCAATTCCGTTGTTTATAGGAAAGTACCTAATTCGCAATTGGATTGAGGTGGAGAAAGGAAAACATGGAGGTTGAGATTAAAATAAGGAGGAATCATCTCTTTGCAATGGTAAAGAGTTGGTTGTGGAATTTACAGCTGTTCCTCATCCTTTTCATGGCAAATTGCCTAAATTGCAATTGGAGTGAGGTGGTGGGAGAAAATGAAGGTAAGATGGAAGTTAAGAATAGAGATAGGTTACAAGTCAAATGTATAGATTTGTTTGCAGGATCTATAATAATTAATTTTTGGTTACCAATTTTTTTTCATACAGAGTTGGGTGGAGAAATGAAAAGTGAGGAAGATTGAGGTTAGTTATAAAAAAGAGATTATACATGAAATGTGAAGATTTGATTGTAGAGATGCTAGAAGAACACAAAATTACTTTGATTACTAGTCTTGTGTTTATCTTATGTAATGTAGTATGTTCTAAACATTCACATTGATAATATAATATAAAAATAGGAAGCACCAAAAGATAACAAATAGAATCAAAGGTTTATTTTGTTAAAAATCCTACAATAAATTTTAATTATTGATTTGTATTATTAATGAAGAATAGCATTTTTTACAATTTTACAAAAAACTTAATCTTTCAAAATAATAACATATGTAGATAAAATACTTATTTGCTGAAGCTAATTAAATTATTATTATAAGATATTTAAAAATTAAAATACTAGTATCTACTAAGATATAAACAACATACTATAATTAGGATTATCTGCTAATAATATTTTAAAATATATTGAATGTTTTATAATCTCTAGTACATTTAGAATTGACTCAATTCTATAAACAAGAAATGGATGCTATAGTGAAAGAATTATTTATTGTAAAAAGCTAAAAGTGTTATCAAGAGTGTTGATATTAAAGTAATATATAAAATAAAATTGGTAGTTGGAATTAAAATGTATATTAAATTATTTTAAAGAAAAAATGATTATAACATTTTGTTTTCAAATAGTCTAGAATTCAAAAAATCTTTTAAAATGACATGTTTTTTGTTCTATCTACTTCTCAATTCTAAAATTCCATTAACAAAGTTTTAATATATTTCAAAGATATGCACAAAACATGCAATTTTGTAGAACATGTACTTGGGCCTTTTTACTTTATTTGCTTGCCATCCATGTGTATCAAGACAGATGGATGCCAAGTTGCTACCCTTTTGTTTTGTATGTAGCTCAGTGACACACAAACAATTGTTGGGTTGACCTAAAACATTTGATAAAGATATTTAAGGTTTACCATTTTCTAAAACCAATAATATATATATATTTATATTTATATTTATATATACTTTTAAATAACTTGGAAGCAAATTTTTATTAATATGTTTTGATAAGGACAACCTTCTGGATTTTCTGTCACAAGTGCTAGGTACCAATCAGACACCTATCACTATACAACCCAAAACATGTATCTTTAATTATTATTGTTACAGATAATATCATTAATGATACGATTAAAACAGTAGGAAGTATTCTGTTTCTTTTCTTTCTTTTAGTTTTTATGTTTTTTGTTTTTAAAAGATATGACTAGTAGACAAAAACCAAAACAAAAAAAAGTGGAGAATAATTAACATATCTCAAAAAGGTCAAACAAAAACGATATATACAATTATGTAATTGTTAGGATGTTGGAGAATATCAAAAGAACACAATTTCTTGATCAAATTATCGGAAAAACCGTATTGGTATATATAAACCAATATTTGAAGAACAAATCATATTGTTTTTAAATATATAATGCAATAGAAAAGGATATTTGAATTTTCAGTTTAAGCATGCCTATATAAAGCATGAAATTGTACATCATACCAATGTATTGTGATGAATATCCTCACCAACAGTTCGGTGAAGCAGACGAACAAGAGTGCTAAAATACTCTAGCAGTGTTGATTAAGCTTCATGTTTTGTCCACATCTATCAATAAAACTTTGTCTTCAAGGAAAATTTCGGTAACAAAGGAACTTCAGCTCCGGCGCAGACCACAGAGATCTACCTTATTCATGGGTACTGCAAGTCTGTTCTGGATTCCATCATTCAGAATTGGCGAGGAGGAAGAACCAAGGCACGGAACAATTACAACCCAATTGTGAACTGCCCACGTTTGATAACACTTGAGCAAGCTCAGCATTTGAAGACCACTACTTATGCTCAGCATCTCCTTTCATTGAGTATGATAATTTCAGCCTTGAGCGTCTTGAGACACTGGGCAGCGCTAGCTTGCTTCAACCAGACAGTGCAACATGATCAGCTCCACAGCGTGAACGCAGCGTGGCCATGGTGGCTGAAGTCCTCGCCCAGAGATTTTTCTCACGCAAGAGCTAGTAAGGGTTTGGAGTCACCCTGTGAATTCCTCCAACAAGCCCTGGATATTCAAGGAGCGCACATTGTGACCGTCAGTGGGGGGTGTAGAAAGTTTGAGGTATTCGAAGGCAGACTTCAATAAGGAGAAAACATAAGGGCAGACTGATCACTTTACCTCGCTAGTGAAAAATTTCTGAGCTAAACACGACCAAAGTAGTGACTGGAATTTCGAGTACCTCGTCTGACAGGTCATCATGCCTTTAGCGCATGAACACAAATGTAATAATACCTAGGAGGTTGCTTACACATGTTCACGTGTCAAACAAATAAGCCCGACCGCTGTCCAGGACAAACTTGAGCATGAAGCATAGGTTACAAAAGGTACCTGTGAAATAAGAGTCTCGGCTTCACTTCGTTTTACAAAATGGATAGAATTCCGCACCAAGGACGTCGATTGGTCGCCCAACAGTACCTCGCCTATGTTGTTCAATACTCTTACTTGGATGTAGGGGTCCTTCGGTGGTGTGATGTCCTAAACAGAGGTGATCATTGCAAAGTCATTCAAGTGTGACCTGAAAATATTTACACGAAACGAGCAGAAGCTAAAGCTACAGATGCGTGAACTTACCACAGCGAGATCAATGTCCAATTTTGTCATGTAAGAACTCAAGGCTTCAGAGTAGCTTTTGACGAACTCCTTCTCCGATGGATGTAGGAGCTCTTTAACATCTTCCGGAAGCACAGCGCCCAGCTGCCATCTCAGGCGCTGTAACCTATTCGCACGATGATACCTGGCCCGATAAAGGAAGAACAGTGTCATTCAACAGAACCCAGTATCCTCAGCTTCTAATTATGAGAGAATATACACTCCTTTCACTTCTCCCCTCCTTTATCCACAGATGCTTCCCACTGCAAACCTAGATCGAGTTACAAGCAATTCGTACATGTAAGCTAACAGGCATCGCTTGTTCCGAAGTATACTTTGATGATGAATCAGAGCCCCATTGTAGTTCTCATCTGCCGAAGATATTTGCCCATCCTCATTTTCTCCCTGCATTTTCCTGTAGCAATATTCCAAATTCAGAAAGTCTGGACTTCCTCTTGTGCAAAGAATAACTACATTAATCAGATCATGACCAATAAAACAACGCTGACACCAGTCTCTCACACCAAGTCTTAGCACAATCCACTCAGATGGGACATGTCTGCCTTAGAAATCCCAGAATTCTTGATGACATCATCATCAACAGTGCAAAGGGATCGGAAGATATCATCCACCCAACTCCCATCCAATGACAGCCCCGACCCACACGAGTATAACCTTCATGAAAGCTCTAGGTCTTGGATTCACTGCACGTAAACAAAATCCTGTGTGTGCCTTGAACGCATGAGAATCATTCGGGATGAGGCAAAGTACTCACTCCATGATTGTCGTCACTTGCTGAAAGTGTTCTTGAATCTCCGAGATGACTTTGTCGAACAAATCATACTGTCATCACAATCCTAAACGCGCCAGTTAGACTCCGACTTCATACGGCCGGTATTCCGCTATCCGGGAAAGATAAGAATCAGCAGCAGTTTTCCACCCGATGGAAACCAATTCACAACGTCCAGGACGCCACGAATTGAGCCGAGACACAACTAAGCCCTGAACCCTAAACCTCGAGCACACAGCAGCACGAACATCAAGGACGCTACGGATGTCATCTCCATACTAAACCAATAAAACCGAAGAGTTCTCGAGAATTCCTTCATCTCGAATGTCAAGATGACGTGCTCAACTTCACACTGGCCGTCCTGAGACATCATGGGGCCATAACACCGCCACGCCTTCCAGCGCTGCATTCCGCAAAATGCGTTACCCCGAGAGCATCTCACAGAGCATAAAGCACAGCCACAATTATGAAATCCTCGAAACCCCACGCATGAAAAAGGATTCTCACCGACTCATGAAACCCCACCGCAAAGGCATGGCAACAGAGAAACACGATCGAGAGAGATGAGAATGGCAACAAAGAGTGGCAATCGTACGTTGAAGCGGCGAAGGTGGTGGTCGTCGGTGGTGAGCTCCCGCACCAGCAGCGCCGCCGATCTTCCAAACATGGTGAGGATGAGGATGCCCAATGCCAGGCAATGCAATGCAATCCCACAATGGCACCGCAACGATGCCCCAAAAACACACACAAACACAGAAGGAAGGAATGAGGGACGGAATGAATGGTGCCCTCAGTGCTCCGGACTCCTCACTCGTCCTCCTCACTGCCGCTGCTGCTCCTCGCCATTCCTCACTCTGCTGCTGCTCTGCTCCCTTCCCTTCCCTTTCCCTCCACCTGATGGTTACGTCATCATCCCTCTCAGACGTGTCTCGCCACGCTGGCACTTCCACGTGGGTCTCCTCCACGGCTGAGGTGGCACCCCCCGTTTTCTGGCTTCGGGACTGACTGCGTTGCGAGTGAGCTGACTGCCTGAGTATCGAATGATCTGCGAGTGATTGTGGTGCCAGAATGGGATTGACTGACGGCGCCAGGATATGAAGTGGGAGTGAGGAAGAAAGGAATGAAGGAATGAGGGAATTGGAGGAGGAGGAGGAGCGATGACAGGAGGGAAGGAAGGAGAGACGATGATTGTAGGAGTGTCGGATTGGATTGGGAGCAGCTGCTGTTTCACTCAATGCTTTCTGTGCTGCTTTCTTGGATTTCCAGCAGAACTGATTGGCGTCGTGGCCAGGCTCTGCCGAGCGTGACTACGGTGGAGTGAGTATCAGCTGAAGGCACTGTGTTGTTCTATTCTCCTCGAGGAGGAGGGTAGGGGAGTGTGTGTGTGTGTGTGTTTGTGTGTTGCTGCGGGATGTCGATGATGCCCCCTCTGCAGTTGCAACATTGATGGAGGGGTTCATGGCTGTGTCTCGAGCGCAGGTGCATGTGGTGGCGATGACGTTTGGGGTGAAGGTGCAAATCATGGTGATGTGTGAGTATGGTTGCAACTGACGCGGATGCGTTTCGCTTTGCTACTCTGGCTTATGGATCCCTTCACCAGAGTCTGCCTGGGTTCATTAGCCGGGCCACCGTCATGTTCTTGCGCCGACGGTCGCTTGCCATAGGTTGGAGCCTTGGAGTCTAATTTTGGGAACCGTGAACAACTAGCTTGCGTGCTTGCTCCGGTCCTCATCCTTACGAAGCTGTGCATTTTTTATTTTGTATAGAATGAGAGATTTCTAAGGTTCTATCCCTGGAACGAGGACTTTGTCATCTTTGTCTAGATAGCTCTTCTTTGTCACATGGAATCAAATATTTTGATCCTCCTTTTGGCTGTTGGAACTATTGCAGTGTCCCACGCCACTTAAGCCCTAGTCTTTTTGTTTGGGTGGCCAACCCATAAGAAGTTCTTAATGAGTGCCTTTATCGTCATCAATATTCTCTATTGGATGGGGTTGTACAAGGTGAGAGATCATATGCTACCCAATATGACATTTACTCAAATGTAGAATAAGTATGGAGTACATAGAAAAAAAGAATACAAATACCTTAGTTGTCTAGTCTATTAAACACTCTCAAGTTAATACATTAGCTACAACAACAATTCATGAATGTTGTTCAAAAAATATATTTAGCAGATTCTATACACTGGTTGGTTATATATGTGTAATATAGATCTGTATACATAGATCTGTATATTTCAAAACTTTGGAAAAAAAAAAAAAAAAAAAAAAAAAAAACTGTAATTTATTTGCCCATGAAATGTTAATAGTTCATATTTCCAACATTTTCTGGAAGACATGTTAATTCATTCATCAATGATTTTAAGCCTGTAATTTTTAATTTGAAAGCAGCTCTCTCTCCAAGATACATATCTTTCATTTATGTATGAACATAAATGAAAGATATATGTTCATACATGATCTCAAAGACACTAAATCATTGAATCATACAATGATTTAAAATTACATTACTTTTTGTTTGATGGTGGTGTATGTATTGGTGATGTAAAAAGACACTTTTTTTTTTTATATCATTAACAATAATTATTTTTTATCTTCACTAAAAAACAAAATCCTTTACTCATTGCAAAAATCCTTTCAAAGAAGAACCTAACTTTTGTTTAAAAAACAAACAGTATGTGGTGGTTTTATGCATGCTTTTGATGTTTTATTCAACTGTATAATATGTACGCTTTTGAATCAAGATCAACTTTCTTTAACATTACACTGTCGAAAGTTTTTTTCTGCACTAAATTATAATACAGAAAGTACACGTATTTGAATTATAAAATCATGTTCAATTTTAATACCTTAAATTCAGTTTAAATATATTTTGAATTATTTTAAAAAAATTAATTCATACTTATTTTCAACATGAACTATCAAAAAAATACTATAAGTTTATTCACGTTTTAAAAATAAACAATGTATTGTATAATAAAGCCTTTGTAGGAATATATGTATTTATATACTAATTCAATGATAAGACACAATGATCAAAAGAAAATTTAATTTTAGATTGTAATATACTTAAATTATTTTAAAACGATTCAAGATTTAGTATGTTCTCTAATCTGGCCCAATAAATACTGGAGTGGATCTAATACCCTAAACTCTGGTTTAATTTAATTTAATTCATTCTTTTTTAAAAATATAATGTAAGAAGATAAAAAAAAACTTTCATCTTAAAATTAACTATAATTTTTTTTCACAAGATCAAAGCATATATTTAATGAATTCAATTTTTTCTGCAAAGGTAGAATTGATCTAAAAAGCTACAGTTAACTTGATCATACCAGAGTATTTTTTTGTGTTATATGTTGCATTTGAAGCAACTAAAGCTAAAATTTAAATTCATGCAATATTACATTATTAGAGTTTAATTTAGCATGAATATTCTATTAAAATAGATGTCTATTTTAATAGAATAACATCTTCAATAATTGAAATAACATCTTCAATAAGAATAAAATAAAAAATTGTATAAAAAATAAAAATAAGTATTTTGTCTCAAAGAAATATTAAATAATGGTTTTTATAATGTAATTCTTAGTCTTTAAAACTATGTATGTATTTAATCAAAGAAGATTCTTAACAAGGTTTTATGAATTTCATTTTATTTTTATTTTGTATTCTTGTTTTTGAATTAGAATGTATTTTTATTTAACTTTTTAAGAATTAGATTCGCTCCATGCATTATTGCAATAAACAAAACTTGGTTTTGAAATTTTAAAACTAGATTTTGTAGTTCAAACTCTCTCTACCTTGTCCACATTATGTTTGTGCATTTTATATGGTTGAAACTGAGAGGCCTCACTTAGTAAGCTTTCTAGTCAAGGAAATCAACTTTATATTTAGAACTATAGTATTATATGAAAGCATTTTATATAAAACAATTTCATTCATTTTATGACACATTCTCACTTTTGACTATTGCCAAAATACCAAAACTTCTAAAACAGTTCTTTACCAAACATATGACCTTTGTAAAACTTTTGTACCAAAACCTTCCAAATTGGGCTTCTGAGTCCAAAGGCTCCCTTAAATTGCTTCAAATAGAGTTGAGTCTTGTAAATCAAACGAATCGCTTTACATATACATGAAAGAGACACATAAGAAAGACACGTGATTTTATCTTATTTGTAATTATTTATGTTCAAAGGGTCCGTCTCTATTGTTAAAAATTTGCAACTATCAAGTTGGACTTCCATTGGAGTGGTTGCGTTACTGCAGTGACGGTGGCTATCTGTCGCAGCCAGCCAGCAAATTTGTTTCAGCAGATAGGATCAAACTTGAGCTTACAAATCAGAACTTATTGGAAGAAAAGGTCTGATTGTCAGGCGTGCAGGCAATTTGGGGGCAGCCTTGAGTATTAGTAACTGACGCTATTAGTCAGAGTAGACAAAACGTATTTTACACAGACTGACTTTGCGACTTCGAAATGAAGAGAATATTTCATCAGGAGAGATGTTTCACCACAATGGTCCAAGCTTTGGAGTCAGTTACATTGAAAAGAAAAAAAAACCTCGCATCTGCAAAATAAGGGTCAACTCTACTGTGACTAACTCCACTCATATCGACCCATACAAAATAGGTTTTTTGATAGTGTAAGAATTCGATTCAAATTATAAGGAAATGTCTTTGTGCCTACTAGCAATTGAAATCTTACATGCAACTTCTACTCTTACAGTACGAGGAATGAACCCCACATGACAGTAAAATATTTCTTTTCTTAAAACACACTTCTAGAACTCGACCAGGCGGGAAAAGAAGAGTTTCTGAGCATCGTTCCTCCTTGTAGGTGCAGGTTAGACAAGTTGTACAACAGCTGCCACTCGAAGGGAACCACCCTGCAGAAGCTCTGGTTGTTCACTGAACAAGAAAGCCGTTCGCCAGCCCCACCCTTTAGGTGTCTTTGGTAGCAATGTCCCTGCTTGGGTAAGGCTTCCAAGTGGAATCACGCCACGTTTGGCTGGACATATCAGCTGCAAGGCAGTAAAAGTAATAAGAACACATTTATTACCGCACTTGCCTTAGTACCACACAAATATACTTCATTTGGATCATGCTCCACACAATATGGTACTGTAACAATGTATTACATAGTGAAATTAATCGTCTACAAGACATCAATTGCTTCATTACAACTTGAATGCACGAAAACTGAGTGAATATCATAGCCGTCTCGTCTTCCTCCGACAACATTACTTTGACAAGATTAGAGCTAAAGTGCTCGGGGTTGAAATCTTACTTGGTACCGAGCTGTCACCTTTTCTCTGGTGTCGGTATGGAAGGAAACCTACACCAAAACAATCGCAGTTAAAGACAGTATGATAAATCATAATAAACAGTTGTCGGGTATGTGAGCGGATAATCATCTCTATTGACGAGGAAAAACTGAGATTATTTATTTGCTCCCTACAACAATGTGTTTCTAGAATACTTGATTATTCTCGGTGGCAATTTAGGGTCCAAAATTGTGTCAAACTATGTGATTAATCAGAGCTTAGAAGAAAAAATTTAAGAGATCATCTGAGAGTAAATGACATTGAAATTTTTTTCTTAATAGCTGAAAACCTTTTATATCCTCTCATCCGTAAAAAGTCCACCTTTCTGTAAGGACCCACGTCCTCTGCTTTGCGCCTATGCAGGAAAAGACCTGAAAAACAGAATTTCTCAGTTGTGAACTCCTGGAACCAATATGGCAAATCTTTGCCACTGTCATTGTGGAACAACCAAATTCGAGTTACCCTTAAATGCACCCGAAAAAATTTCGAAACTCTAAGCAGGTCAAGTTTTCTCGAGCATCTGTGGTCTACACACAGGCCTGTGTAACGCTTTTGTAAATCCAACAATTAGGCGCGACACAGCGAAAGGTTATACCCCCAATTTTCAAGTAATTCTAACAGAAGTTCTGGGTAAAAACGTCTGCAAGGATCAACATTTAGATCTCAAAACATAGTTTGACATTTGTCTTCTTACATATAGTATGAAACATTTGAATGTGTTGTTTAAATTGTTAACACATATTTTCCTTCAATATTTTAGAAAACATAAAAATATATAATTTTCTTATGAACTTTGTGGGTTAAAAATGATTTTTCTACATTTGCCATTACAATTCAAACACAAATCTTCTATGTCTTAAATATTTAGAACGTGCTTTTAAGCTTCACTAGCTTTACATCTATTGATCAAAATTTGTAAAACATCTGAACTCGAAATCTCTCAAAATTGCTCTCATGCCATTTTGAGGTTATTAAGATTCCTACAAAATTAGACAGAAAACTAGTCTAGAAGCAGTACATTTTGCCACGAATTTCCATTTTGAGTCAACCCAATTGCATCCAAGAATAACTACGTTGCCCACCCTCCGCAAAAAGAAAAAACAAAAGACTAAAATGTATGTTGTGCTCTATTGTCAATCCTTTTAAGGTTAAGAAATGACGATCTGCACGTTTCGGGAAATCATGATTACCAAGTGGGCGCCTCCCCCTCGGATCTTCGTCATTGAAGGCTTGCACACTGACCTGATTCTCACAAAAATCACCAGAATATCAATACTAAATAGAAAGATATTGTAACGATTTCCAGTATCTATTCCTGATGAGCTGCTTGTATATCAATTGACATCGAATTACTCGAATACGAATTGGCTTAGACACTACTAGTGAGTGTTGAGGTCATCATTTGCAGTGCAACAACCTTGTACTTCAAAATTGAAAACACGTAGTAAAAATTAATAATTTTACTAATTTTTACCTTCCACAAAGAACCGCCATAGAAAGCTTCTGGTGAATGCTTGGACTGGCCATCTTGGAGGCGGTTCACATCTTCAAATTCAACCCTGCAAAAAGGCTCGAGGATTGTTATCTCATACCGATCGTTATCCATACTGAGTGTAACACCTAAAATCCACAAGATTTATCAAAAGCAAATTAAACGTACTTTAGAAGCAACATTTTCAAGTTTTAACAACTTACTCTAACCGGAACGGCGGAAAGCTGCCCAAAGGTGTGTTCAAATCCAACTGTATGGATCCTCCTTCACCTGCTTCACATTCCTTTGTAGCATGATCTTTGTCGATGCTCATATTGCTCAGCATTGTATCAATCCTTGCAGGCTTTCCTGCAACTGATGAATCCTCAGTCCTTGAGGTGAGATCGGGTTGACCAAGGCTTGGAACACTAGCTGAAGCAGTGCCTCCTTGAGTGGGACCTTCTGGTGTTGAATGCGCCACGGCAAGGTCGCGTCCAATAAGATCAAGCCTTACATCAGCTTGATTATTCTCACCTCCACTCTGCTGAGGGTTTCCTCTTCCACCATACGCCCCTAAGGTGGGAATGTAGAGGAATCTAGGAGCTGGCCAACTACCAGGAGCTCCGAAAGTTGTACCTCGACCGACACCTGCTAAACCATCTATTGTGTTGCGAACATGGACTCGACCAGCAGACTGTGAACTGGCACCAATTCCACTACCTGAGGTGCCACTAATGCCCTCCGCTCCAGGTAAATTCCCAGAGGATATAGGGTCTGTACTCTAACCATCGTCTCTGAAGAGCAGACCTGATATTCTACTATGCGCATAACTTGGGTTGAACTGGCGACAACTGCAAATTGCGTACACTAAGCTACAACTCCTACAAGTGTCTGCAGAAACTGTAAGCACTTGCTGACGTAAGTGTGTCTACAATAACAAATAAGGAAGAGCGATGAATGAATAAGGAAATTAGACAAGAAAGAGAGAGAAGAGCAATGAATGAGTAAGAGAATTGGAGGATGAGGAGAAGGAAAAGCGATGAATGAATAAGAGAATTGGACAAGGTGTAGGAAGACCGATAAATGAATATAGAAATTGGAGGAAGAGGAGGAAGAAGACTAATGAATAAATAAGTGAATTGGACAAAAAAGAGGAGCGATGAATAAATAAGAGAATTGAAGAAGGAGGAAGAGGATGAGTGATGAATGAATAAGGGAGTTGGAGAAGGAAGAGGAAGAGGAGCAATGAATGAATAAGAGAATTGGAATGAATGAATATAAAAAGTGATAAATGAATATAGAAATTGGAGGAAGAGGAGTAATGAATGAATAAAGAAAGTAGACGAGGAGGAGGACAAAGAGCGATGATTGAATAAGAGAATTGGAAAAAGAAAAGAAGAAGAGTGAATAAAGGAATTGGAGGAAGAGGAGGAGGAAGAGCAGTGAATGAATAAGGAAATTTGAGGAAGAAGAAGAAGAGCAATGAATGAATAAGGGAATTGATGAGAGATGGCTAAAAAAAAAGAATAAATGTAGGAATTGGAGGAAAAAGACCAATGACAAGAATGAAGGAATAAATGAAGCAATGAAAAAATTGGAAGAAAAGGATGACAAGTGATGGTAGGAATGAAGAAATGAATAAATAAGAAGATTAGAGGAAGAAGATGAAGGTAGGAAGGAAGGAAAGAATGAAGGAATTGGAAGAAAAAAAACAATAGTATGATGAAAGGAATGAATGATTAAGAGAATTTAAGGAAGTGGAGTGATGGCAAGAACAAATAAATGAAGCAATAAGAGAATTAGAAGAGAAGAATGACAAGTAATGGCAAAAAAGAAAAATTGAATGAATGAGGAAATTAGAGGAAGAAAAAGAGAAGCAACGATTAGAAGGAAAGAAGGATTGAATGAATGAAGGAAATAATTGGAGGAAGAGAAAGAAGATGAGTGATGGCAAGAAAAAAAAAGATGAAATGAATGATTGAGGGAATTGGAGGACGAAGAACAATAGCAAGAAGGAAAGAAGGAATGAAGAGATTATAAGACAATGAGTAATGGCAAGAAAGAATTAAAAAATGAATGAATGAGAAATTAGAGAAAAAAGAAGAGCGATGGTAGGAATGAAGGAATGAGGGAATTAGAGGATGAGGAGTGATGGTAGGAAGGGAAAAAAAAAGAATGGATGAATGAAGAAATTAGAGGAAGAGGAGCAATAGTAGGAAAAAATTAAAAAATGAATGAATGAGAAATTGAAGGAAGAAGAGGAACGATGGTAGAAAAGAAAGAATAAATGAATGAATGAAGGAATGAAGGAATTGGAAAAAGAAGAGTGATGGCAGGATAAAAGAAATGAATGGAGGGATGAGGGAAGTAGAGGAGAAAGAAGACAATGTCATATTATGTGAAGACTCCTTAAGAATGTACTAGATACTTGGTTGTTGAAGGAAAAATAGAACTTGTAATAAGATGATTGTAGTAATTCTAATAGAATTCTGATTAAACTTTAATTAATTTATAACAATGCTAATCAATTTTCAATTAAATTCAAAAAAAAACTTAAGAACTTATAAAAGAAATATAAAAGAAATTATAAATTAATCTTAATAAAATATATATAATAAATCATTCTTAAAAGAATATCAAAAATAAAAATCTTAATTGAATCCTAATCAAATTATAATATATTCTCAAAAAATCCTAACAAAATTTTAAATCTAAAAAAAAGAATTAATCAAATCTTAAACAAATTCTAATCAAATCCTAAATTTGATTAAGTTTTTTTGAGATTTAAAATTTTATTAGGAATCCTAATTTTAGACAAAATCCTAATCAAATCCTAAATCCTAATCCTAGATCAAACTTCAATGAAATATTAAATCTTAATCAAATCCTATCAAATCCGAAAAAAAATCTTAATAAAATCTTAAAAAAAAATTAATCAAATCCTAAGCAAATCTTAAATCCTAACTCTAAACTAAATCCTAATGAAATCCTAAATCTAAAACAATTGCAAAAAAATTCCAAGTAAATTTCAATTAATTAATATAGCTATTTGAAACCTCAATAAATATTAATTAAACTATAAGTCTTGACTAAAATTTTACCTAGACTTTAATCAATAAGCTATTAATAAGTATATAAAATTTAAAAAGAATCAAACTTACTAATTGTAAGAAAAACTCTTCAAAACACTCACTAAGCCTAAATTTCAAATTTCCAAGACCAAAATCCACAAAAACCCTCATGTTCTTCAATCTAACTACTTAATTGACTTCAAATTTTTTACACGCATTTATAACAAGCATAATAATAATAATAATAAAAAAATGCCAAAATTTCATCTATAAATATACTATAAAACTCACAAAATCATAAAATTTATAAACTTTTTTTATTTTTCATAATCTAAATCCACTAAAAACATCATAATTCCTCTAAATTTCAATATGAATTTAAATAACATAAAACCAACACTCAAAAATCTCTCTTCTAGTCTGCTTTCAAATTCTACTCTTTTATTTGCAAAATAATTCATAGTTGCTATAGGTAATTTTAATTAGGTTATTCTAGAATAAAATACTTTCATTCTTCTTTCACTTGATAGCTATGTTATTACACAACAACAAGTAATGGCAAGAAGAAGAAATAAATGAATGAGGGAATTAAAAGATGAGAAGAAAGGTAAGAAGGAAAGAAGTAATGAAGGAATTGGAAGAAGAAGAGTCATAGTGAGAAGGAAGAAATGAATAAATGAAGGAATTGGAGAAAGAAGAAGAGGAAGAAAAAGATGAAGAGTAATGGTAGGAAAGAGGTAAGAATAAATGAATAAGAAAATTGGAAGAAGAGGAGCAATAGCAAGAAAGAATGAATGAATAAAAGAATGAGGAAATTGGAGGAAGAAGAGGACATGAAAGAAAGAAGGAATGAGTGAACAAGGAAATTAGAGGAGAATAATTGATAGCAAGAAGAAAAGAATGAATGAATGAATGAATGAAAAAATAGAAGAAGAATAATAATGGTAGGAAAGAATGAATTAATAAAGTTTGCTTGGATTCATTAACTGAGCAACCATCATATTCTTGCAACGGCATGTGAGTGTGTGCATATTTGAATGAACTCGAGATGGTGCACCCATGCTTGCTAAACATGTATAAGAGAGGGACTTGTTTTTGTGTCTTTGTTCTACTAGAGCAAGTACATATTCGCTCACCAAGCCTATAAGCTGATGGCATCCTCTATAAATATTGCATAACATGTCAGGTCACATCATTACAAGAAAGCAAGAAAACAATTGAGATTGGTGGGATCCTTCTCTTTCTTGTCGATCACATTTCCTTGCTACTTTTTCCATTTTTTCCTCGCATTTGGCATGGTCCAATAGCCATTTATTGACTTTCGTTGTGCTTATAAGTGAATTATCTACATGTATTTTGTAATTGGCATGTCATAGTCCAGTTTGTAAATGTGCCCTGTGAATATGATATCAGGTCTTGACATATTTTGGAGAGCACAAAATAAGATTGATTGACTGCCTGCTTTGACATGGCACTTCATAAAATGATGTGTTATGAGTTGAATTGATTGCTCTCATGTTCATGATTTATGTTAAGCAAGCAGCATCTTACACTTGAAATATTGTAGCTTCAAAAGCTATAGCTTGGATGAACATTGTTTGCTCACTTTCAATAATGACTTATTTACTCACTTGACTCCAAATCGCAGCTTGGCAGCTTGTAATCCACTTCTTGAGCAGATTGCTGGAACCAATTATTTTACTTTTAAGCCTACTTTTTTAGCTCTTTACTATGTACAAAAGAAATCTTGTCATCAAGAAGGAGGCTTGCAGCTTCTGTAAGGAAGTAACCATGTAGTCACCTGGTTCATTTATTCTCTTCAGTTTATGCTATTATACTCGGCCTTCATAAAACATGTAACCTTCACTGTATTTTTTAGGAGTTTTAATAGTTGCCAAGTTCAAGGTTATCTGCATAAATTGCCAGAATAATATGTGAATTAATTTTGTATTTCTAAATCTTCTCAGCTTGTAAAGTATTCTGTTATGCATCAGTGGTATTAAGCACTCATAATGTTTGCCATGTAGAGTTAAGCCCTTTAATTGATTGTCATGCAATCATGATAGAATTAGTGACAATTAGTTTGAGTTTGGTTACATCCATAACTGGAATTTGCTGCAAGATACTTATACACTACAAGTCTACACACAGATTTCATGGATTTGTTCAATCACCCACATGTGGGTTTTTTCTTTGTTTGTATGGCAGTGACAAAGGTATTTGGCAGATTAACTAGTGATGTTTGTCTGAATCTTAATCTTCAGGTTTGAAAGTACGCTAAATTTCATTGTTGCTTTGAGGCAGTTCTCAATGAGTAAGTCCAGACTGATAATTCCTTGTAGTCAAATGCAGCACATTTTTCAAAGCACTGAAAGTAAGTGGACAGGTATTGTCTCCTTGTTGTAAATGAAGTTGTAACATTTTGTAAATTCCAGCTTTGATTTTTACTCTTTTGTGATGAACCAAGTAGAGCAAGACCAGTTCAAGTTCAATACTACTTGAATTCTCATTTTCTTTAAGTTATTCTCATTTATTCACTTTCATTAGTTATGATATCATACTGAGGCAAGTATCATGTCAAAAAAATAAACATACAAAAACTCTAATTAGGATTAACGTGATACATCTTCTTTTCCACTTTTTTTTTTATTCGCATAATCTACACATAATGAACACCTTAGTGATGATTTTTCTGGGAATGTCTGGTAGGATAGAGGTGTTGAGTGTTTAAGAACAATAACACGTTGGTTATATTGCCTTAATAGTTCAAGAGAGAGAAGTGAGGAACACCTCATATAATTAAATCAGTTGTTTAGAGCTTTCGATATGAGAAATATGGTCGGCATTGCGTAACATTTATCTCATAGTCGAGCAGCTGTGCATGATCGAAGTGACAAAATCAAGTAATTAGAAAGGAAAGGCTCTTCAAACATAGGTAGGTTAAAATATGAGTAAATTCTTCAGAAACGACACAATCTATGCTTACAATTACTACTCAATACTCATCCCATTCAACCATAGAGTATGTCGTTTCATCCAGATACATTTAGCTTGAAAGGTTTGTCTGCAAAAAAACACACCCAGAACCGCGCTTGAAGATTGATATAACTCAGCAAATTCTCTACGATGTACCGAGTTAGATAAAAACTGGGGGTGTACGGCGTGCTCTAAAATTATTTTTCTAATCGTTGTCTGGAACAAGGAACCATGAGGGCTATACATAGGATGAGCCTCATCGGGTGCTTGGCAAGCGTAGCATAACAAAACAATTATCTCCAAGCTATGAACTTATTCCTGCAAAGCTACTTGAAAACAAAACATGATGGAGACATAATAAGTGATGGGGAGTAATGGCACCAATGCGAGAATTTTACTTGCTGCAAAATGGACCAGAATCATCCAACATCTCAATAAACCTCTTCACAAGTCAAGTTCAGAAAAAGCCGAGTGTGTACCTTAAACTTATCAGCAAAACCATGAGGTCATTGCAAGCCAGGCTGATCCACTTATGTTGGCCTCTTGCGATATACAGCACACTAGCAGAAAAATTACTCTGCGATTGAAGAGCGTGGTATTGCATGTGCAGCAGTCTATACTTCAAGTGCTCAATCTTCAAAGCTGAAGCAGACTCATACTATAACTTAAACTGAGATACCATAACTTGCAATTTGTGAAACTCGTTTGTCCAAAAGATTTCGCTGTTGTTTGACTTCAGATGCCATGGATGCAACCTGCTAGCAATATACTTCAGTAAAAAACGACAGAGGTACACTCGAAAGTAACAGCATGCAATACTTACCAAAGCATCATAATCATAACCCTACAAGAATCGCGGACGATTACTAAAATAGAACATAAATTGTATCGTACCTCTGCTCGCAAACGCAATGCTTCCCTACCCGGTAAATCACGCAAGCTATCCATAAGTCCTGCGATTAGCCGACATAAACTATCATCAGAACCAACGTATCAAAACTTGGTAAGGTGACATTCCTATCAGCTTCAGGTAGCTTACAAAGCACTTGAAATAAGTACAAGGGGAAATCTGAAATATAAAGCAAACAATATCCTTTGTAAGAATAACCAAGAACAGAACATTCAGCATCTTTGATTCGGATATGTACCTCTTGCAGATGATTCTGTTTTGTAGGCGCCCCTAGAGAGAGAGCTAATTTGACTTCCGCTATTTCTGTCACATGCCAAAACAATTCAGACAAGCTGGTACAATGACATTGGCTTTGAACAATAGTGACTAAGACAATAGAGCAAAGAATAAGGGAAAGATTGAGATCAACCATAAAATATGTTGATAAGGACAATAGTGTGCCCAGAACAACACCTTTGACAAATTTAGGAACAGAATTCCAAGAAAACGTGTTCTTACTTAAGTTTAGTCATTCCCCGAAGAAACTCCTCCTCTGCAAGCTTTGCCCTCTCCTGTTAAGAACTCAAGATTGAGAGTGCAGCAGCATTGAATACAAAATCTCAAAAAACAACTATTACAAACGACTTCAGTATGAAGTTACTATTTGTAAAATCGTTTACTTGAGCACCGAAGACATGTGAAATGAAGGATATTACCTCAAGCTTCTTTGTTTCATTTTTCAATGAATCTACTGTTTGATGCATCTCCTTCACCTTTGTCTCAGCGCGCGTGAGCATAGCCTATGGAATACACAAGAAACTCAGACACGTGCTAATTATTGGGAATACCATGCTAATTGACTTCTAATGAGCTTGTCGATAGTACAGCAGAGAGGTCCAATAAACAACACCTTGCTCGATGTTTGGCCTATTCAGATTTCAGCTGTGTGACATGAACTCATTGAAGAGAAAACGTGTATAATACCTCCTCACTCCGAAACTGGCCAATGGTGTAGCGATATAGCAGTCGCCTTGGTGCTGAAAATAGCATGTTAATTAGCATAGGAGAAGACATAGACGCTCAACATTCATCTCGCATACCACTGTGGTAAAGATACCCAATGGTGCATCACTAAATAGCAAGATCATTTGCTTCGAAGGTACGTTGAAATTTCATAATCGAAGTCTTTTGCCAACGCAAGACACCAATAATTGTAGGTAGTAAACTCCACTAAATACACTCAAAAGCAGACTTCAACATGAATGACTCAAGAAGTCACAACATAACCTCACTGGCTATCACTGAAACATGACCATTCAAGCCTGGACTTGTCGCACTTAACTGATAATGCTAATAACAATCGTATTTGACTAGTAAAAATACAAACCAAACGGAGAGGAAACATATGTGGAGGAAGCAACAAGCCTTACTTCTCAAAGCGAGTAGTGTAGTGACTCCAAGGATTCCAAAAGTTGCATTTGGATTCTGGACAGCTATGTTTACACCCTCTGCACCCACATCGAACGGAAACATGACAACTGATGCGTCCAAAGCACCTGCTAACTACCTAGCTAATGCAAACATTAGGACTAGCAAGAGTGTCTACTGGCTAAACACTAGCAGACATCTCTAACACATTCACCATGACTAAAATGCAAACATAAATCACTTCAAACAAATGGTTAAAACTAATAGAAAAACAGACCGCCCAAGATAAGAAAGTGTCTAACCCAATATGTTATGGTAACCAGGGCTATGACAACAAAAGGGAAAACCTACTAATTCGATTGACTAAAACTTGAAGTATTATAACATGTGAAGCATCATTCGTTGAGTAAGAGGCTAAGGACAACACCTTTGAGTTTCTTGAAAACAAGTCCTTCATAATGGGTATATTCCTGTTTAGCTCTATCCGCAAGTTTCTGTGGACATCAAGTCTCAAAAAATTTATTCCAAAATGTTCCGATCTCACAAGCATATATACATATACAAGAAACATAAAACCATGCGGCAGACACATGATTTCAGAACCTTCATCCCATGAAAATCTACTTGGATGTCAGAGTAATCAACAGGGGACGTCCTCTATCGCGCCAGCATCGCGCCGTCTCGCAGAACATCAGACATATTCTTCTATAGCAATCTAGACAAGGACCTTCAGTTGAAGGCTAGAGTCTGAATAGGTATTCTGTAAATCCCAATGACATAGTAAACAAACTTCTAGGCTGATGGACGCATATTTTGGAAGTCCACAAAAACTCGAAATTCTATAGTTGGTTGACACAGCGATTCTGGACCATCAGATGGATTAGGTGCAACTTGCAATTGAAAAAATGCATCTATAGCGAACGTTCAACTCCAAGATGTGATCCCTAGCATGCTGACAGAATGTCTCTAGACATCGAACAAGTCGAGATGCAATGCTTGATTTTGCGATCCATCGACCAAGACCATCGGTCCGAAACGAAACCAATTGCTAACGTGAATTTACAAGCCCCGGAAATGCGAAGAGACCGGAAAAACTGTCTGAATCGTGTAAAATCCTACTTCGAGTACGAAAAAAGAACTGGTCCTATAAAAATGCAGCAGGAAGCTTTACGGTTAGCACAAGATTTTAGCTGCAGCATTGAGAGAGTGATGTGCCCTCTGTCTAAGCTCTACTCCATGTGTCACTGTCTCATCATCAACATCATCTTAGCAGAGAAAACTAATGCATCGCGACAGTAATCCAAATTGCAAACTGTGCTAGCCATTGTGGATCCGATGGGCACAAAGACGGATTTGAACGTCATGAATACATATTCCGACTCTCAACCACAATCCCAAGACCTTCCAATGGAGTCAAAACCCACTGAACCTAAAATCTCGCTACAACAAAATTGCACGGAGATGAGGAGTAAGGCAATGTAACACCAATTGTGCAGACATGAGCAAGCTAGTGTTTCATCAAACAGTAAAAAACCGCCGGCAAGGTTTCGATCTCCAATGTGCGGAAAATAAGACAAGGCAAAGAACAGAAGGTCGCAAACTAGGGTTTCCAGTTGCCGAACACACCAATACTCTCCCGGAATCTCAACCTCGACACAAAAGTAGGAGCAGCCCGGGATCACCGCCACCACTACAAATCCAACGTCACTCTCTCGTTCCTCACCTGAGCTGCAGCGAATTGCTGCGAGGAGGCGTCCTGCAACTGATCGATCTGAACACGAGCGGTTCGGAGGGCCTCGTCGGTGGAATTCAGCGCCCGATGGCCCATACTCTGCGCCTGCGCGGTATAGAAGCTCCAGGAGTCATCCGTCTTGCTGTTCTCTCCGTTGTGCCCCATCGCTCCCCGAGAAGGCGAAGGTGCAAATGCAGAAGAAGCGCCGGCCCGGGCATGCGAAGGCAAAGCGAAAGCGATGGTGATGCAAATGAGCTTCACCCCCGCTCGCAGCAACCTCCCTCCCTTGGGTTTGCGACCTCCCTCCCTTCCCTTTGCGACCTCTCTCTCGTCCCTGTGCTTTTGCTTTGCTGCCTCCCTCATTTTGTCGGTTGTTATGCTTCTCGACCCCGCTTAGCGACCACGTGGCATTCCGCTCCCTTCCAAAAGTCTTACCACACTTTTTTTTAAAAAATTTGCGTTTAACTTTTTCAATAGATATTTTTTCTCTTGACTTTATTTCTCAAGCCAAGCGATTTAAGTTCTCAATTTCATTATGTTTTTTGTTTCATTTGTTAGGTTCATGTGTAATGGGATTTTTTTTGAAATGTGAATAAATGAGTATTTTCATACATTCATTTTTTAAATTAATACTACTAGTATTGAGGTAGCCAAAATTTTATTAATATATGTATTATGTATGTAGACATTATATTAAAGATTGTAGTACTTACTAAATAAATAAATTCTAATTCATTTGTTGTTATTATCCGAAAATCATGAAGATTAATGTTTTTCATGAGATTTGCAATCTTATTAAGATCCCAACATCAATCAAATACAATCAAAATGTATTCTAGTTACCTTTTCAATGAAATAAGTATATATATATATATATATATATATAGAAATTATCAATTATATATCTAATTAATGACGTAATCATTCATTTGCACCCAATTGAGGTTTCAAACAAGAAGGGGGAACCATCAATTCACTAACAAGACAAAATGTTGAACGGAAGGACACATGCTTTTACTTTATTATGAAGTTTTCTTTTAAACTTTTTCAAGACCGTGTTTCTTGAGCTCTTTTGGGATTTTGGGGAGTTGCAGGAGAATTTGCTGCTCAGTGAGCTTGTGGTCTCAATTTTGAGGGCAGCGCTGATTTGTTTACGGTGATTGTTGGCGAGAGGTTTCGGTTTGTGCGCGTGAGCGTGCCAGTCAGAATTTCGTCTTTAGAATGGGTCATGCTATCCGGAATGTGTCAAGTTTTTTTTTTCTAAGTTCGAAGATAAAGACATTGTGTGAAGATTCCGTGGCTTGAAGTTCTCCCAGAACAAAACTTGATTGAAAGATGGAGTGAAATCGTCCCTTTGCTGTTGAAATTTGCTATGAATTCGCTTATCGATCCAATCCGCTCTCGTCGCTAAACGCGCTCTATGTGTGGATCGAAGCAGTTGATTTAAGCATGTATTGTCTTGATAGCGGAACTTTTTTCGAAACGAATTTTATTATAGCTGCTGAAAGGCTCGATACCTTGAAACTTCACCTTCTCAACTGGGTTTGCAAGCGTTGAGTTTACTGGTAGGCAAGTGCGTGCAGTAGGTGCTCATTGGACTTGGTACTCCATGTAATTAACAATGTTGTGAGTTTCTACGAAGGGCTCAAGGCACTAGCATATGGTGGGGTGCTCGATGCCTTAATGAAGTTGTTTGGGGGTCAAAAACAATTCTTTTTTGATTTCGCTGGTTGACACAAAGGAGGATCCAAAACTGGAGATATCCTTGTGTGCATTTGCTCTCCAATACATCTGCTACTTCTCTGTCCATTTTTTTGCTACGAACTGGGTGTTTGATTAGGTTTACTTTATTCAATCTCATCATAAGAAATTGCCCAACTGTAGCTAGTATTATGTCTGGGTAAGTTGTTAATGCAAGGTGATCGGTTGCATCAAGACGAGGACAATTGCAGTTCTAGGACATGTTATTGCTTGGAGAATCAAACATTATTTTCTCTATTCTTCCTCATATCTATTGGAATCAAGCAGGTCGAGCAAACATGCTTGGATCTGTGTATTTGGGGTGTGCGAGGCTCGTCCACATTGGGTGTTGAGGATGGCTCTGCAGACAGTTTTCTTCTGGTAAACATTCCTACTTCGACCTGCAGATTTCAGTTGATTTTTGTTTTGGAATCAAATTGCACCATCATGCAATCTGGTTTTCTACTGCATTTGTTGATATATTGAATATTGCACTCTCCTACTCGATGCTTGTAAGCTTGCTCCAACAATGGGGTTGAAGGATATGTCCAAGTTGAGGATGTTGAAGGTGAGCCTTCAGACATCTCAAGCGATTGAATATTCTGCAAGTGACTAATTGTTTTTTCGTTTGAATAATCGTGTCTTAAGAGAATGAGAAATGCATTTTAAAGTTTGAATATGCTTTCTTTTGCTTGTTTTTCTTTTGCAAGTATTTGATGAAAATAAATCTTCCAAAGAGGTTGCAAACATTGAAAAACAATGACAAATTGGTTTGAAACAACATATTTTTTTGTTCAATAGATTTAAAAACATGCCAATCAAAAGGTCCAGACCTAAGGATCCAAACTATCAAAAATAATTAACAATCATTGTAAAATATTAAAGTTCGTATGATGTGTTTATATTGAAGTGTTTTTATAATGAAGCACTTGAATAAATGTTTGCAGAGCATCAACTGTGTCCTTCATTTGACAATATTGTATATAACATATTAATTTGGATGAAATCTTTGGTTAATGATTAACCACCGTTTTTAAGATAAACTACTTTTTTTGCACTTCTATATAGAACATATTTAATTTTGGTCAATGATGAATTTCAAAAAAAGAAAGAAAGATTATTTCATTGATTAAAAGTTATTATTTTTAATCACAAAAACCATATTAATTTACTTAGTGTACATAAACATCTTGAATATATGCATGAATACAAAACAAATAACTATCAAATATTTTAGTCATAATCTAAAAATATCTTAGAATCATATTATGATAAAGTTACATGCATAATTTATTATCATTCCAAAAAAACTACACATCAAAATAAAATTCAATTTTTCTTAGTGTCACATAGTAATCTATAATAATAAATCAATATTTTATCTATTTGTTATTATAAAAATAAAATTTGTTCTTAATTTTATAAATAAGGTTGTACAAAAATTTTGTATTGAATTATTTCAATGACTAGGGTGAATTTAAAGAATCAAAATTAATAAGATATTTGATAATTAAATTGAAATAATAAATACAATGGTATAGATTTTTGAAAAAAAAAAATCAATATTTTAATATTATTCTAGTTTTGTGTGAGTAATTTTTTTCAAATATGTATAATTATAATTTACTACTACAATAAAAATATTTAAAACTATAATTATAAAAATATTTATGTATTATGATATTTTAAAACTTTAAGAATTGTTTAATAAAATTATAGATTACTATGTGACATTAAGAAAATATTTAAAACTAATTAACGTATTTTTATGTTTTGATAGTAATTGTGAATACGTTATATTTTAGTTTACTTCAATTTTTTACCTTTGGTTTTAATTCAATCTTGAAGTTAAGTAGTTGATTTCATGATATCTAACTTTAAATATAAGAATGGAATGTAACAATAGTGCAAATCATATTTTTACCACGGTATGGTTTTCAATAATACTCATTGTAATTTAAGATCATGATTTTAAAATTTTATAATTACTAAATATTTTAAATATATATTTCGAAATCATTACTTTTTTAATCCTTTTAATAAGCACACTTTGTATACTTTTAAGAATATCACACATTCATTCAACAAATCATGGACATTTACAACCTGTGCTAAATAAAATCAAAATGCCCAACTCCATTCCTAATCCAAAAATAAGAAATAAAGGAAGAGACTTAATTTAAAAAGTAAAGGAAGAAGAAAAATAAGAAAAAGAAACGGAAATGGAAAGAACCAACCAAGGAAGGAAGAAGAAAGAACGAACGCATGAGCGAACGAACAGACGGACGAACGAAAGAAGGACGAAAAAAGCAAACAAACGGACAATCAAACGAATGAAAGAAAAAGAGAATGAATATGTGACGAAAGCAGAAAATTGATGAATGACGATGCAGACGAATGAATGAAAGAACGTGATGAACAAAGAGGCGATGTTGCGAGAGTGGTGAAGGGTCATTCAGCGCACCATCAAGTGCCGCAAATTATGCTAAAAATTTGCAACCTCGTCGCAGATCCATGACTCTTATGTTTCGATCTAGCTCTCTCTCTGATCCATCTCCTTGTTGTCTTCCCAGCTCTCTGTAGCACCGCATGGGGCCGAAATGGCGGCAGTTGCAGAACTGGCACAAGCTTGTCGATGCTAGCTCTGATCCGGCTCATGAGATGGTGAAGAATGCCGCGGTCTAGGTCTACCCAGTTGACAACCCCATGTTCTCCTCATCAAGAGTTTTTTTTTTTATTATTTTTTATTATTTTATGTTGACGAGGTCTAGGCTCCGCTGTCTACATACCCTTATCACCGTCACGCTTCTTCCTTGCTCAGAACGTTTGAATGCATGGAAGCTCCACTTTCATTCCAGCTTGCTTGCTTTGTAAATATGTACACCTGGAGTACAACGAAACCACGGACTCAGCAGCGGTTGGTTGCATCACCAGGCTTGATAGATTCCGATGACGGTGCCAAGGGGTCGAATTCTATTGGCTCACCCCCCAGAGGCATGTTATTCCCCTGAGCTGAGACAAGAGAATGAGGACACGGAGAAGTCCTAACTTTCAAGAAGGCCAAGTCCCCCTTGAGAATCCCCAGTACAGAGGAGTCATTCGAAAAAACAATGCGAACTCAATTGCAGTACATGGTTTTGTGGGTCCCCTCATCCCAGATTGAGAAGCGGAAGGGAACGTTAGTGTCCTTCGTTCTTTGAACCTGCAGATTTGGAGTGTGTGCCAACTTCCGGGATGAGGATGGACACCAGTACTTTATTCTGATAACTTGATTCAGGGTGTAATTGTCGATGTGTAGTTCACGCATCATTCACTGATCATAGGATGAGGAACTAGGCTGATGGCTGGTTGGGCAGAGGCCGGGCTGCGGTTGGGTGCTTCGATTGATGACAAGAGCAGTGTCTCTTGATACGCGTCTACAGTTGCAAAAGAATAGATTACAATACTAATAATCATAATAACAAACAACAGCTGGACCTGGTTTCCGTCCCCTTGCTGTGATAACTAGTTCTTCATAGATCTTCAAGGTAGTGGAGGATAGTGGCCGCCTAGGATGTCTAATTTGTGATCTGTATCTACAGATTGGACTCCCCCCCCCCTCCCCCAAGATTAGGCTCATTGGAATCTGTACGCCATCTGAAGTACTGCAGACAATGATAAGCGCCAAGCTTAAGTTAACCAGGATGCAACGATTCACTTACCTCACTCCCTGAAGTTGACAGCATGAACTTAGTTGTAAACGTTCCAAATACTGGACAGCTAACACCAATCTATCCAAGTAGTGGACTTATTCTTTCTACACGTCGAGGAAGAGCATGATTCCACATGGTTTATGGTATGCTTGCACAAAGGTAGTACTGTAGCACTCAGATCACATGCACCAGTCGCTTGATCAACTAATTTGACAGGCTGTCAAAAGTATTACCACAACAAGGAACTAGGGAGCGAATACTTGGAAGAAAACTATTGTAATCTTTCACCTATTTGGACCATAAAATGACGCAAAAATGTGGGTATCTCAGAAGCTCCCAAATACAAGAAAACAAACATGAGAAGTCTTGAGATTCTCAAACAACTAATTGTTATACGAGCATAGTCAAGGAGCTTGAATGAGAACAAAGAAGAATGAGCCTTCTCATTTAACCTCCAACCTTTGCATTTATCTTTCAAACAAGGTGAAAACTATGAATTCGGAGGAAGAGAAAACAAAGTAAAAAAGAAAAGGTTTGGTATGCATATAGTGAAGATAAGAGCCTCAACTGACGTCTCGTGTAAATAAATTTGGGTGTGAGAAAGTCGGTTCTGTCTCTATCTTGCATCAGAGACACGCTTGAAATGGTACCTTTCTTGGGTCAGTCAGAGAAGTAAAAAGAAACAAATTGTGGGTGATTATGCAATGTCTCGAAGGATGCGCCAGCACTGGCCTGGACTCGTCTCGGAGATTGTGCAGTCTCCGGCAGAGTGGCCTCAGTACGTGTGTACACCCATGCACTTACAGCAACATCTCACTTCTTTACTCACTTATTGCCAAGGACTTGCACTCAATTTAAGCTGGGTCTTAGGCTTTGTCTTGATAGCAGAGTAGTGCAGCTGCTGCAATAATACTTCTGCTCCACCAATCCGACGGTACAATATAGTAACAACTGCTTCCAGAAACACTCAGCCATACTCTTATGAGGCTGCTGACTGGCGCCCTGTGCATGATTATTTTGTCTGCCAACGATAGGGCTAGCCCTTTGAATTACTGACAGGGTTCCCCTACGGCATCTGTAAAGAAGAAGCAGGGAAAGACGTGTTTTTTTTTCCTGCAAGAAATGTCGTGCTTTCCTTTAGTGGGTAAATCAAACTCACCCCAGCCATATACCAGTGCTCAATTCAGACTCAACTTCCTGCTTTAAATTTGCAGTGACGAGGATGCTAGAGTGATCATACACAATGTAAGGTGAAAATCACACGTAGACTAAGGGTAATTTAAGTGGAATTAAAGTCACCTCTTATCTACCCGTGAAGCTAGGAAAATGAGCATACGACCTATTCTTGTGATTCGCCTTATCAAAGCTTTCACCAGAAATGCTGACAGAGGGTGAACACATAGTCTAATAGAATGCAACGCGATTTCCATCAGCATTAAAATGTGGTGAGAAGCTAGTGTGTGAAAATGTGGAGAAGCGATTGGAAAATCAGAAACCGACTGACATCCTGACAAGTGAGCTGAAACTTGTGATTAGTCTGACTATACCTGGCTAGAGGAGTAAGCAAACTAGCAACCTGCACATGATGGGAGCATGTCTGCGTCCATTCTGGGGAGCATGTCCGTGCCCGTTCTGGGGAATTTGCTTCATTTAAAAACGGCGTGCCCCCTTCCTACAATCATCACCATGGCCAACACTTTGTGTGGCTCTGCTCAACGAAACATTTATAATTTTCATTCCTGTCTGGATTATTCACCAGTACCTTGTCTGCTCTGGCTCTGTAGCGATAGTAATTGCCACATACAAGACTAAGCTCTAAAGAAGAGAGTACTTTGCAGATGTACCCTTGTCGATATTCAGGATTCATCGTTTCCATGATGGCAACATACAAACACTGTTCTCTTTATCCAGCCGCCATGCAGACTATCATTTCTACAATTCAGAATTGAGTCAGCTAGGTAGAGTCGTGCGGTAAATATGAAACGTATCATGGTTATTCGTAACTTGGTGATCAGCGCTGGTGAGGAAGACGCGCAAGGGAAGTTTCTAGACAGTAACAGCCCGACTTTGGAGCATAGCCATAGATTGACGACAAGTAGCGGCAGCGAACTGAAAGAAAGGGAGAACGCCACAAATTTGAGCCACAGACGACCTTGCTTTAAGGTTTCTGTAGAAGTTTGTATAGTATTTTTGATCATCCTACGCACATAACTAACCCATTCGAAACCGTCAGCAGGGCCCTGACACAGACAACTTGTGCTAGTTCACTGCCGCCAGGCATGACAGGTGTATTGTCCTGTAGTTTACTTGCACTGCCATCGGAAGTTGTCCCACACCTAAATCACATTAATTCACATGCATAGAACTTAATTGGAAGCGTGTATGTGTGTGTCGTTAATTATTCATGTACTATGGTTCTTGGCCCCATTCGAGCTGATTTTTCTGACGTTTTTGTTGCACTCCAAGTTTACTTGTCACAAAAGTAGCTGGTTTTTACAGAATTGTGTGGAACTTAACATCCCAGCCAGGGAACTCTGAATAATTCTAATGTTGAGCTGTCTGTACCTTTTAAAAGCTATACAACGCAAATAGTACTATGCATACCAATACGTTAATTCGTCTAGGTTCTAGTTTTCTGTTGAACTACATACCCAATCAAACTATATTCTGATTGCCTGACAGCAGAGGAGATCAGCACTGCCAGAAGAAATCATCGACAACTTACTCTCATTGTAGGTGTTGGGGGACCCAGCTGCTAAATCATCCGCAAAGCCCGATTAACGGTGGTGGCTCCTCATACATCAAGTTATGCTGGGTGACGCCTCTTATTCCAAACGCCACCTGATCTGAAGCGGATCTGGCTGAATTCCTCATGTTGTCTGTGTACCCCTCCTTTAGACCACACTGAGGCAGGACCTCATACGCCTTAAAAAGTATATTACAGCATCTAGTCAAAATTTAATGCGATGGAATTGGTATTCCATGAATTTGATTTATGGCATGTAGTACCTGTTACCGCACTGACAGCGCCATACCTCAGGATAATACTCCGTCTCTGAGATAACCCCATGGGGGCTGCCGATGGCAACGTGCACTGCCTTGCAAGGCGTGCACCTCCCGCATTTTGATCGACAAGTGGGAGGAGACGACCCCACAAGACCCCTTCTTCTGATGCAGCTGCTGCCAGCATTCTTCCCCTGGAAATCAAAAATTGAGTCTGCATCTTGGGGTGCTCTTATATTCATTCTCTGCCACAATGCCCACCACGCTTACTCGTTGGTTAAAAAGGAAGCTAAAGCCACGAGCTATTGTTCCAAAATATTCCTTCACAACGAACGTAGGTTGCAGTTAATCAGCTGTTGGGACTGTCAGATATTGCTGTACTCATCCAATTATTGAGAACTATGTTACAACTGAGTGTAATTATACGTGGTGAATGCACCACTGAGGAGAAGCCTGATCAGGTTGCGTTTCAAATGACTTGCTTCTCTTTCCTGAGGTTCTCCACATATAAGAGCAGAGTAGTAATTGGGGAGAAAGAATGCAGGTTGCGAGGGTACAACTGTAACTGCAAGTATGAGATTCGAGCCCGACAATAGTAACCTTGTATTCTGCTGAGGGAACCACGTGTATTTAATCCACGCTTGATGAATGTAATTACGATTATTTACTCGGCTTATAGATAGCTTCATAAATAGATTCTGATCTCTAGAATTTCCTTACTACACAAGTTGTGTAGGAAGGTGGAAAGAAAATTACCTGTATTATCTTGATATTTGTTTCTACCACCTCCTGCTTATCTTGAGCAGATGTTGATGTTCGCTCCTGATAAGGAATCATCGTCTCCACGGAGGGCGTGCCTGTAATCAACAACCCACGTTGTAAGTGCGAATGGCGTGCTTCATTTGATGCAGTGGGCGGGTCGTCAATTTCAGCGAAATGAAACGTTATGAAAAGAACTTTGAAAGCCAAAAGTCAAAGGTGGTATCTTGACCCTCTATTTGGAGAACAGATTTTAATATTTTATTCACAATTTTTTTTCATAAAAAGTGAAGAAGCGGACAAACATCTGACTCATAACGGTTCCATGTGATCTGCTCGTTGAATTCAATCACATCAGCCTTTTGAACGTGCAGACACAATCGATTATAGTGCACTTGAGAAATCCAAATACTTTTAATCATCCATCACACATGGCTGCGAAGGTTGACGGACCTATCTACATATCTACCATCTGAACAGTCGCCAGACTTGAGAACAGAGATTAATTTTCTCCATTCAATTATACCAGGGTCTGGATTCAGATTCGAAATGGCCGGGTACTTATCCAGAAAAAACGTCCGACTTCGCAGATGGAATCAAAGAAAGTATATGATGAAACACAAATACTTCACTTAATATCAAAATTTTAAGAATTATAACAGTAGCAGCTTGGTAATGGAATTTCGACAGGTAGCTAAGGAAAACATATTACCAGCTGGACCGATTCGTGCAGCAGCCGAAGCAGGACAGGAAGCTAAAAGCGCCAAGCTGATCAAGCAAGCAACCACAACGACTGACATGTTGGCTCTGCCCCACCTCCCAGAATACCCTATCTCACACACCGACTCAAATCGTCTGTAAACGGGGCCTCTCTCTGACTGTTTTGAAATCCTGAAGTGCGAGCTGGATCGACGGTGCGTGCTCCAGAACCGACCGACAGCTCTGACACTGTCAACGGGAATTAGGCGAAGCAAACTGATCGTGTCCAGCTGAGCTGATCAGCAACGTCGCAACATCGCAAGCAAGCTGCGAGAATTGTCAGCGCGAAGAGGCGTGGCTATGTCAGGCGCGTCATCTCCAGGCCGTGAACTGGTTCAGTTGAATACAAAATACGGTGCACAAGTTTGATAGGGAATGGAGGTGATGCGTATTAAAGGAGCTGTGTGTCTTTCTTGTGGAGCCGTCAGACCGCCCACTGAGGTTTCTAGCGTCGTTTGGTACCGAGCTCGATAGGCCAAGGTCCGATCAAATGACAAAAAGCGGCCAGACAACTTACATCAACCGGTCATTGTGGTTGTAATGGCACTGGGTTCTATCGTCACTCGAATTTCCACAGCTAAAACCCTTTCGATCCTCACTCATACTCTGGTTCTAGGTTTCACAGGGCCAATTGTGTGTCATGACTTGACTTGGCCAACGAGGAAGACGAGAAAACTTCCGGTCGTCCTCGGTGGTTGCAGTGGATTTGACTATTTAACCTCTGCACTTATCAACAAGATTTCAAGTTAGTTCGAAGCTCGTCCCCTTTGCAGGCTCAATTCTAAGTTCTACACCAGTGTGCCAACTCTCCCAGATTCAGCTCAAAGCAGCTGGCAAGATAAGAATTCTGGTGGGCCGGCTCAAGTCACCTATAATGCAAAACTAACAAAGATCGGGTTCAAAGCTACCGTTCAATTCGCCCCTAAAAAACCAAGTTCGTACTCAGACAATGATGAAGATGAAGAATATATACTTGTTCACGCTTGTACTTGAGCTGCTGTGCACGAGTCAAAGCTTCTCCTGCGACCAGCCTCCCTGATCATTTAACTTCCAGGCCGCCGGACTGCGAACGCTAGCTAAAACAGATGAGAAGTCAGCGGGGAAGCAGCAATCATGGGGTGACTAGTTAGAAAACGAACATGAACAGCAAACAAAGTCTCTGGAGCTACACCCAGTTTGAGGCGCACATCAATACGCCAATGATTCCTTTGGCTGGGTGCTGCAGATGTGGTGAGACACTTGTAAACGCGACTCTCACCAGCTTGTCTGTTGTGGGTGGCCTTGCCCTGGAAGGCGTATTAGCTACTCCAACTTCACCACAGCTAGTTAAACCCATTTATCTCATCATTGACATCTTCATCCAGCTGATCATCGCATAGTAGCTCATTGTAGCTCCGGAATTTCTCCTCCTCCTCCCTGCCACTGCAACTGCGCTGAGGAGGCTCTCGGGAGTGGCACCGACCTGACATCTGATGGACAGACAGTCAGAAGTGGGAGGCACAGAGAGCGAGGCGGAAGAAGAGACAGGCATCTTTCCTTTCAAGATGCAGCTGGTCTCCTGCCCTCACACAGCGCCATTTTCCCCAACTCTACAGTAGCCTCATAACTAGACTAGACGTAGCTAACCCACAAATGAAGAGATGAAAGAGCGTGCATCGAAACAGCCTGTAAATAAAAGAGTCCAAAGTAGAAACGGACATATCACCCGGGCCTCTACGCTAGCTATTGAATCATAGTTAAAATTCATGTTCAGAGGACAGGAATCCCTCGCGACAAGTCATGGGACGTAACTGGTTGCTTTCCTCTGATGGGAAGGTGAGATTCAAAGCCAGGCGTCTCTGTAGAGCATGCATGAAAACGTACCACAGCGGCGTGGATAACTAAGGCTATGAACTGCTGATTCACCTCGAGTGGATTGGCAAAGTTTACCCCTGGCTGAGGTGATTCTTCTGTCACATGAAGCGATGGAGACACCATCGATGAATTCACCGCAACCTCTGTTCCAGCACTAGATTCCACCCTGCTACGAGTTGGAAACCTGCAGAGCGGGTACCCTAAACACCACAACCCTCTTCTTTAAACTCCAGTTATTTTCTACCCATATCATTTACTTGCAGCATCGCCGAGGTTCCACTGTGCCACATGACATATTCATCCCCGAAAGGCGCATTGGTTCGCTGTGGTAATGGCCACTGATGAACCATATCGAAGACCCAAGCATTACACTGAACACATACACGGCAGCTTCGAAAGCGATAGGCATTGGGTCCAAAAGGGAGGCACAGACGCAGCTAGGCCATGCCACAAAGCCAGTGCAGCACCTGTAGGCTCGGCGGGAGCTGGGGGTGATCACAGAAGCTTCGGAAAGAGTCTCTGACAGAAGAAGAAGAAGAAGCAGTATCAGAAGAGACACAGGCGACTGAGGCAGTGCCGGGGGATCCGAGATGGGCATGAGCTCAATCATGGCTCCAGCGTCGCCGTCGCCTGCAACAGGCATCATCAGAAGAAGCAGGAGGGGAGAGGAGAGAGGAGGAGGTTAGAGGACCCAATGCTCTACTTCTTCTGCTTCTGCTCTGCTGCCGCTACTGCATGCACGCTCTCTCCTCTTTTTGCTTTCTCTCTCCTCTCTCGCTTCATCAATCATGGTGCCGCAGTCAACTCCCCACTGAGCCACCACCTTCCTCACCCTCGTCCACTGCGATGATTCTGGATGCACACACACACTCCCACATATTCACTCGCTCACACACTTATCTACTCACTCACTCTTGTTGTAGAAGAAGTGGATGCTCATGGTCCTTTGTTTCCTTCTACTTAACTCTCCTTGTTGCTGTTGTTTCAGTGTTAGTGTGAAGGGGTGGGAAAGAGTAGTAGAACAACAACAACAAGACTATGCTGGTGAAAATATGTACATTCTTGGATTGGAGCAGTGTGTTGGTTGAAGTGGAAAGATGGTTTAGAGAATGGCGAGTTAGCAAGAGTAGGTCATGCGTTATGTCTCAAGAAAATGTAATGTTGTTGTGTAATGAAAGAAAGGAAGTTGTGTTGTTAGAAAAGTTTTAATATATATATATATATATATATATATGTGTAGGGGAATTTTAAATAGATCCAAGTTTGTACTAAATTGATCCACCCATCTTAATCATCATAAAAAAATAATGATTTTCTATTTATATTTAAGAACTTTATATTTAATTATATTAAAATATAAAGTTAAAATCATTATTTTTAAAAACTTTATATTTAAAAATCTCTAATTAATTTTTTTAACTTAATGTCATAGTTGAATCTAAATAGCTGTAATGTTTTATTATTGTAAAGTAATAAATAAGAATATAATAAAAACTTTGTACTAAAGTTTTTGCCTCAATATATTTTTTAAAAAAATTGTTTGTGTCTAAAATATTTTTCAATAAAATTGTATTTAATATTATATCAAATATTTATTTTGAATTAATAAAAATAATTATTAATCATATAGAAAATTTAAAATTAAAATCAATATTAAATCAATATATATATATAATTAATCAAATACAACTTTTTATTTTTAGATATATTACTATTTATTGTTATAAAATGTAGATTAAAATTTAGTTAGAGTATTGATTGTTAATTCTATTAAACTCTATTGTCTTATTTTATAAAAGTATTCATAATAACACAGACACACATATATATATATATATATATAATAAAATTTAATATTTTAAAGTATTACTTATATTCATTAAGACATATTGATGATCCTTTATTGTCAAGATAATTAACAATTATAATTGTGTATATTTTGATATTTTTATGCATAGATTCAAATAATAGTTTGGGGCAAAATGTGATATTTTAAAATTTATAATTAAAGCTGATAGCACATAGTTTGTGTATTATTAATTTTTTTAAACTAAAACTTTAAAAAATTAAATGATTAATACTTGTATTTGGATTGAAAGTAGAATTTAATTTTTTTAAATTCTAACCAATTCAACATCATGTAATAACAGTTAATAATAACATTTAAACAGTGGTAGATTTTATTAGACCAAACTATAACTAAAAGTCTAAAGATTATTGTAAATTATATCATTTATTAGATTGATAGAATTAATACAACTAGAATAATTAGTAATTCTAATACTTTCAAAATTATCATTTAAAATTCATTCGCTACCTTCTTTTAAAGCAATTTCTATTTTTTTAAACAACATAATGATTGCTATTTGTTTAATAAATATATTTTTTACTAAAATATCACTTATATATATATATATATATATATATATTTATATTTTTATGTTTTCTTATTAAACTCAATGATATATTTGTTATAAATATCTTACTTGGTAGGAGCTAATTAATATTTTTTTGGATTTAAAATAGATGATATGATTTAATATTTTATATATATATATATATATATATATATATATATATATATATATAATAAAAATAAAATAAAATGTAGCATTAGACTTACCTTACAATTGTAACTTTATTCTCTGTTACATATAACATCTTTAAAAAGAGTACAGTTTTATCTTTCCAATGTATAAAGTTTTAAAAAAATGACAAATTTTAATTATCTGGTTAAACTCATGATTAGATTTAATAAAAAAATATAATCTACATCGCATTCTTAGAGAAATATCAAACAAGATGTTTCATACGTGACCAGTTTTTACAATCTCAATGAACATCTTTCTGTCACCATGATTACCCTAAACCAGTATTTCAATTAAAGTTCATAGAATCACACTTCAAAACAAAGCGCAGTTGTACCCAGTATCCAAATGTATTTTTTTCAACATGCACCTGACATTCTGATTACCATAACCATTCACAGTTAAGCAGCCTCCTCATCTCCTCCAAAGAACTGTTACTAGCGGTGGAAAAATCAAAATCCAAACAAAAACCAAACACAATGTTTCCAAGGCCAGCTGGAAAACAAACACTCCTCTGATAATGTTTGTAACTTGCCCCAAAATAAATAAATGAACTAATATCAATATATTCATACACACACATACAAAAAAAATTATATATATATATCAAAATATCGATGCATCCTTGTCAACGGTGTCATAGAGCTCAGATCAGAGCCAGCGTTGACAACAGGGACGGGGCAATGGCAATACAACACAGCACTGAATTGCAACCACCATCACCAACACCAAAAGTAACAACAAAAACAAACCAACAAACAAAAAAACTATTAGAATTATCCACCTTCGCGCTCTCTCTCTCTCTCTCCCTCTGTCACTTCTCCGCATGTTGTTGCTTCTTCTTCTTCTTCTAGTGCTGATCTGCTGTTGTGCTACTACTGTTTTAGTGGTATTGTATGTGATAGTATGAGAAACTCCCATTCTTCTTCTACATGGGCGTCGCTCGCTCTCGCTCTCTCTCTCTCTTGCTGGTGTCGGTGGTGGTGGATCAGAGTATAGTCGACAAGGAAGAAGGAGAAGGAGGAGGCTGCCGCATAAAACATGGATTGTTGTGGGGGGGGGGGGGGGGGGGGGAAGGGGTGCTTCCAAACCGTCTCTCCCTATTTCTAACTTTTTCTAAGGCTGGTTGTTTTTTCTCAACCAAGAACCTGGTAAAACCGGTTATTTTTTTTTCGGAA